GTTGAAATCTCCCAGGACAAATGGACTGGCACAAATCACCTCTAACAAAAACCCTGCTTTCCACTGACCAGACCATAATAGTCAACAAGTTTTCACTTCGTCTAACATGGTGCAGTAACATTACAGGACATACATTTAACAATAAGCTATAAAGTGTCATAAAACCTTGACTTCTCTAAAACACTGATCCCTTTCTAACAATGGAATATGAATGAATATGCTAGTCAGCTTTTTCATGTTCTAATATACTCCACCTCTTGTTTTACGATAATTCTTTAATGGTCAGATCAAGTCTGAAATGTGACTTGCATCACCGCAGCTCCATGTGTAACATCAACAAAGACAAATATCAAGACACATGTTACGTCCCCACTAAGGTCTAGGGGACCTGGAGACAATAACATACAACCAATAATTATGAGGGAGTCAGAGTAAAGGTTGACAAAAGGTTTATTTCTTAAGCCCTAACTGAACATAAGTTTAACAGAAATACTCTATAATACTCAAAACCAGGCCTATCTCTACATCTATCCTTTGAAACCAAAACTCAAACAAAAACCCTCACTAACTAAACTACAAAGACTTTGACAAAACAATATACAGGGGTGGCAACAATCCGCTAACCTAGTGTGTCTAAACATTAGTTAGCTACGTGGTGAGAAATGTACAGGGTACCCCAGACTTACCTAACTCCTCCACCTCTCAACACACACACTTTCAAAAAGGTCAGACAATACAAGGAGAATGAGTTGCTAAACACTGCAGTCAATTGCAGGCTCCTCAATCAGCAACAGGCCCAGAGTGAGAGAGAGAAGACTTCCTGGGTGCCTCCTTTATGGCCCTGGCTGCTGATAGGCCAGCTGAGGGTGAGAGGATCCAATCAGCCATCAGACTCAGGTGCACAGGCAGATACCGATCAGCTGCTGATTAGCTGTGCAGAAGACAGGGAGAAGAGAGAAACACAGGAGGGAAGGAAAACCACACAAGTACAGCCTGCCTGGCACGTAACGACACAATACATGAAAAACAGACATTTAACATAAAAGCAGGATCAGTGAGAGAAAATGACCCTTTAGCGTGCATTTGATCTGGGACTTAGCTCTGTATATTTATTATTGTCCCTCTCCCCTTCCTCTCTGGTCCACAGGGGGTGCGAGCGGTCATCGCGGAGAGTTTTGAGAAGCTGCACGTGAAGCAGCTGGTGAGGGTGGGCATCGTGCCGCTGCAGTTTCTGCCCGGCGACAGCGCCGACTCTCTGGAGCTCAGCGGGAAGGAGAGGTTCAGCGTGACTCTGCCCGAGAGCCTGAGCCCGAGGCAGCAGCTCACTGTCAAGGTACTGTTTATGTTGTTGTTTGTTTGTTGATATCTGTACCTGGGACTGTTGAAAGCAGTGTTGAATAAATTGAATAATTATTCAATTGATGTTTTTCTTTGGGGTGTTGAAACAAGTACCATTTTTAGGGTTAAAGAAAGATAGATAGTGCAGCACCAGTCCGGCAGTGGCTCAGTCAGTAGGGGCTTGGACTGTGAGCCGTAGGGTTGCCGGTTCAAGTCCCCGACCAGACCTAAATATGGCGTGTGAACTGCTACTTGGAGAGGTCCCAGTTCACCTCCTGCCCTGCCGTGGTGCCCTTGAGCAAGGCACCGGACAACCCCCTTCCCCCCCCACTCCCATTGCTCCCCGGGCGCTGTACACTAGCTGCCCACTGCTCCTGGTACTAGACTCCTGGTACTAGGATGGGTTAGAAGCAGAGAACACATGTCACTGTGTGCTCTGCATGTGTGACCATTAAAGATGGTTTCATCCCTCCCATTCTCTCTCTGTGTGTATTTGTTATAAAATGATATCAAGATTTACAAAGATTTACCAAAATAAAAGATTAATTGTTTCAGTTTTTGGCCTCTAAGGGGCAGAAATAAACAGTTCTGTCTTATTATAACCATCATAAACATCGCAAAAGATTACACGTTTTGGTCAATTATTATTTACATACTCGCTCCACATACAAAGCAACATTATTATCCAATTTTAGGCCATGTTTCTACCTACTTAAAGAATGTAGATCCACTATTCATTAGCTGCTAGATGATTTAAAAAATAACCTTTCAATAAAAGCATGTTGATGAATGATTTAGTAAACGTGTGGTTTCTGTGTTCTCTTGCAGACAAGCCAAGGAAAGTCCTTCCTGGTCACCGCACTGTTCGACACGGAGATGGACGTTATCTTTTTCCAGCACGGAGGCCACCTCAGATATGTTGCTCGGACCTTTCTCTGAAGGCAAAGCTCTTCTCACCGCCAACATATTACCAGTTAGTCTTCAGCATGGATGGAAAACTTTAAGCTAACGGAGCAACGTAGCGGCGGATGATCCGTCTGTTTGAGGTGGATCAACATCTCCGGACTTTTGGAGTTTTCGTTTTCATACCGAGCTGCTTCTCCGTCACCACACATGCTTGTTCCTGCCGTCGTGTCTCCTCACAGAACAGAATCAGAGCGCAGGAAGACGTGATGACATTGTGTTTTATTGTTTTGGAAACCAGATTTTCAGCGTACTGACATTTCTTTCTTCATGGAGGGGAGCCGAGGAGAACTGAATCTGCTTCTGTTGTCGTCTGACACGGTGCTGCAGCATGAATACTTTTTATTTTTAAGGGTGTGTCGTAGCCTGTTTTTACCAACATCCCAGTCTTATTATGCAGGATTGATGTCAATTGCCCATATTTCCCATTGTGGCTTTATCATTTTATGTAAATTAATCTTCTGTTTATTTGATACAAATTCCATTTTACAATTGTCTCCCATAGCTCAATTTGTGTTTTGTGGAAACTATGGAGGTTTTGCTTTTTCACTGAACTACATAACAATGGCTTCTTCCTAACATCTGAGAGTCCTCTGTATCACAATAAAGCTAAATTATGAGTCAGCCTAAATGAGTTATTGATAACCCATCTAATCTAACGGTTTGACTAATTTACTGTTTGTAAATATAACTTGCTTTATCAAAATGTAAAATAAGTTTAAAATGTGAATCAACCTAATTGTTGCTTTTGAAGAGCTTTCACTCGTGTATCTTTAGTGCACGTGTGTCCATTTGAATGCTCTGCCGCCTTATTATTATTATTAGGGGAACTGCACAGATTGTACACATCAAAGTCTGTTCACAGGTCTACTAATTTAAAGGGGACCTATCATGCAAAATGCACTATATACATAAATATGTGTCCCTGGTGCGTCAGGGAACTCACGCAGCGTCAGAAAATAAAACCCTCTCTTTTCCTCCGTACCCAAATCTCTAAAAACGGGGCTACAACGGAGCTGATCCAGATTTGCGTCCGATATTACGTAATATCGGAAATGTAGGCTGGCTTTACACCCACGTCCTATCAGAAACGTTGCTATCAGAAACAATACCCCACTTTTGGACGTAATATGGTCGGTGTTTACATTAGCATCGCTAACACTCTGAGCTCGTACCCAAATCTTTTAAAAACGGGTGTACAACGAGCAGATACAGATTTTCTGACGTCAAATCGGCAGCGGACCCACAGATAATTGCTATCAGAAACAATGCCTGACGTGTTTCGAACATAATCTCGTCTTTGTTTACATTAGCAAGCCTCGCTAACACTCAGAGCTAACCTGTACTGAAGAGCACATGTGTTTAAAAAGCAGGAAATGAAAAAAAGGAACTCACCTTGTGATAAACCCACAAGAGAAAAAGCATTTGAGCTCCATACTGTTTCAGAAATAATCTTTGATGTGGTTTAGAACAGGATGGCGTATTATCACAGCAGAATTTAACTTTATCTCCGGTAGAATTCTGATCAGGCATTAGCTCCACCTCCTCTTTTTTTTCTAAGGACCCAAAATCCGCGTTTCTCTAACAGGGCTGCAAAAGAGGGGTATGAGCAGTATGAGGCATGGCTACAATGGGTGAACTGTTTGGTATTTTAAGCAAAAAACTTCAGAGACATGTTTTGTATAGGAATGGCCCTACAATATATGTTTCCAATATAGCATAATAGGTCCACTTTAAAATAAAGTTGTATAAATCCTCAAGAATCTCCAGAGTGAGCTGCACAACATTTGATTAATTTAATTAATTGATGGCGTACAATTCGGCTTAGTAAGAAGTTGACAACCGAGTCTAAGAAATACAATAAATTAGTTCACCTGACCTTGCAGCTTAAAGGTAGGGTAGGTAAGTACGCAGCCGGAAAAAATCTGCCTCTTCCTTCAGACTTCCTTACAGAGCCCCTCCTCCAACACACACGAACGCGCACATGACCAATGAGGGCACGAGATAAGTTTGTGCCCAGATGGAAGGCTGACAGGCAGGTAGGCCATCCAGTTACTTTAGACGGGCCGGCTCAGATGATTGGTCGTGCTTTTTACAGTACTACGGCTTCCAAGGATGAAATATTTGTATGTATTTATTGTCAACGCATTTAATGTATTCATTGCTATCGGGATGTTAAGAGCATTCCATGGAATATAAGAAAAAGTGTTTCTGAAGTGAATTACCTACCCCGCTGCTACCAGCCGGATATCTGACTGAGCTGTCTGAGTTGCATTGTGGTTAATGTAGGCGCCAGATTTTGAAAAACACTTCAGTGTGGAATAAAAAGACAATTTGATTTATGAAGCAAGTTTAACTTTGCTGTTTCTTTTCCAAAATATCCTAAAGTCCCACTTAAAAACGGGTAAAAATGTTCATACCTGGTCCTCGTCGTGCGAAGTGAAGCTGAACGAGTGTAATCATGGCATCAGTTTACTTTCCTTACATCACTTTCACTTCATGACTATGGACATTTACACATGCATCTTGCATGAGGATATTATCATAACTTGTGATAATTGATAATCAATACTCTATTGAGCTGCTGAGATCTGAAGTTTGAACTGATATAAAAGTGAATGGAAACCAGCCCCCCCCCCAAGTGTTGACACACTATACTATGACTGTTAAAGTAAGACACAGAAGTCGGAAGCTCTTAATGAAATTTCCAAGTGTAAACAGTGCAACTTTTATTGATTTGTTTCAAAAGTAATTTCTATGACACATGATGACGTACAGTATGAAGTCACACCAACAACCAGATTTAAGTGCTGTCTAACAACAGTTTAAAACAAGCGTGCATCTTACTGTGAGAAAAACAAACGGAAAACTGTGCAAAGAAATGTCTGCAAGTTAAGAGATGATGACAAATGACACAGCTTCAATTAAAGTGTGTGCAAATGTGACATTAAAGCTGTAATCAAAGGATGGCACCGGTTTGATACCGTGTGCAGGATGACGGATGAATTAGGTTCATTATGACATCAGTACGTTTAGTATTTGACATTAATCTCATGTCTACAAGTCAGCATCAAGTCCTTTTTTTGTTTTGCCCATTTACTAGAAAATTATTTTATTTAGAGCTGAATCAATCAGACAATCAACAGAAGTATTCACCAACACAGATGTTAATTAGTAACAGTGCATCAAGCACAAATGCCCTCCCGTCGCCGGTTCCACTTTCTGTTTTTCTGTTAAATCAAAAAGGTACCCTGTGGATTTTTGTTTACAGTTGTGTTAACATTCACTGTTGAGTGCTTCTTAGCGCTCTAACAGATGAGTTGAATTCACTTGCCGAGCCATCTTGTGTGAAACAATATGAAATATACAATTGTTTGTTTTATTTGCAGCCATCCATTTACTAGCTAGCGGTCCTACTCCGTGGCCATTTCTCAATGTCGCGTATACCTCCTGCAGAGCCACTATTTCAAGTATACTATCGAGAGGCGCCGAAGGACTGTTTAAATGCATGTTAAATGCCCAGCATTCGGCGCCACTCGATGACGTAGTATACTTGAAATAGTGGCTCTGCAGCATGTGTACTCGACATTGAGAAACGGTCCTTGACTTTGTTGGCTAACAAACACAAGCTGTCGACCAGCAGAAACAAAACGTAGAAAAGTGTCTTCATAATGCTGTTACTGGTCAAAATTCCACAGGGTACCTTTAAAACAAAACTATAGATTAAACCATTGTATGATGACACCTTAGGCTCTGGGAACCATTTTACAATATTTTGAGTCATTTTATAGACTAAGCATTTAATTTTCAGACAAAAACAAAATGAAAATAAGTGTTAGTTGCAGCCCTCGTATTACTGACAACCACGTCTCAAAGAAAGACTCAGAACCCTCACATCCAGGCAGCCTTTGGTTTGCATTACGTCACTAACGCAGGAGAATCCACTTGCAGAGACTTGAAGCTCTTCAGGCTGATCCTTACAGTGGAAACGCAGCATTCACTGTATGACTAGTCATCAGTGAATCGTTAAACTGGCACTTACAGTTCTGCATTACCACGGGAAAATGATTCATTCATAAATCTCACTGTGAGGATTACCCGTTTCAAGTCTGTGCAAGTTCATTTTCATACAGAAGGCTGTCTGGAAAGTAACACATTCACAAAGAAAACAATGTAGCGTTATAAACTAGAATATAGTGGAAAAAAAACTTAATTTGTAGTAAATGGGCTTTAACATGAGACGCCAGTTTGGTTAAACTCAGCTTTGACATTTTGTGGCTGTTCTCTACAACTGAGAACACGTTTCTCCCATTTTAAAAAAAACCCTTAAACACCCCTCTGACTTCAAAAGGCACAGACATGTGTAGTTATAAGAGTTTGATTGAAACAAGATCTACAAAAAGTGAGCTCACAAGCTTTGACCTATGATGCCCCCCCCCCCACCCCGACCGCAGCGGTAATAATCTAATGCCTCAACACCCTGCACCCATAGTAGTTTAACTCTTAAAGAAAAACAAACAATAACAAAAACATGGCTGGTATTTCATTATCTTATCCACCTGGTGGAAGTGCTCAGAATTCATTTCTTTTTTTTGTATCCGTTGGAGTCATTTAAAAGCAGAGTGAGACTCTAGGCCACTTTCTTCACCTGGGTCCCCAGAGAGTGTGCTGAGAGAGCAGCCGCGCTGTAAACAAGACCCACTGCTGATGGAGGAGAAATCCTGAGAACAACGGACTCATTTCCCTTCTCTTGTGGAAAACTAATGGAATCATTCACCTGCTTTCTCTTTCTCGTGTGTCCTTAATCTTTGTATACTGTATGCAAACTCTTTTTTCATCTAATAAGAAAATATTTGTGGAAGGTTAAATGAAAATATACAATTATTAATAGAGTACAGAGCTATATGTTAAAGGTGATTAAAAAAAACTGGTTGATTGTATCTCCCTTTACAATGCGCGCATTTTCCTTGGTTTAAAGGCAAGAGGTAAAGTGTATAAGAAGAAGGCCGCCTGGAGAGAAGGAGCTCCAGCGCTAGGCGATAGCTTTGGCTTCTGGTAAGAAAGCCTCCCAGTACTTTATGAGCTGCAGAGAGAAGAGAGACAGGGTCAGGGTCCTTCATATTCAACACATGAGAAGGGGTTATAACATACAGGGTATATGCAGGAATCCTGAAGTCAAATGTAAAACCGTTTAAGACCTTTTTTTAAGACCCTTTCCATACATTTTAAGACCTCATCGCCACTTTGAGTTTTAACCGGTTACATTGGCGACACACTTTACCTCACATTGACTATATGCAGTATTGATTGTCCTTCCTCCTTATCTTCCAACCATTTGGACGCAGACTTGCATTTCCCCATAACGATGTTGTTTAGCAACCGGCGTAAACGGACCTTCGCGCGCTATCAAGCAGTGAGCGTGCGATGTCCTGTTCAGATGACGTCAAATCCAACGGGATGCCATCAATAAACTACACAGAATCACACTACACGCCTACGCAATGATTACATTCAGGCAGACTGTAGAATACAACCTCTTTGGACCATTTATATACTTATTGGAAACAAGATACAAAATGTAATACCTTGGAAAATGCCCTTTAATACTTTTTAATAGCATTAATTTTCGCTAAATTTATCAACTTTTAATACTTTTTAAGACCCCGCGGACACCCTGTGATCTATAGGATTTACATCAGGTGGACATTTTCCAATTATAAATCACTTCTACAAAAAACACATTTACTATGTCAAGCTAAAATTACAAATATTGTAGGAGCCATTTTGTGAAATGTTACCCCACTCAATAAGGCGGAGTCAAGTTTTATCTTCGCAGGCCGTTTGATTTATTTGTCATTTAGCTAATTTTCTATACAGATTTATAGCTGCAGATAGTCCCATTCACTTCCAGACATACACTCGCTCGCTCTCCACATATACATGCTACAAACGTACCCTCCCTCTCTCTCTCTCTCTCTAAAGGGATAGGCGCCCTTACTTTGCCAGACCCTATTATTTTTAACACTTTTTTCCCCTTAGTTTATCATAATTGAAAAATGCATGGATTTTGGACGAAACTTTGTGCTTAAAACTTTGGAAAAGGGTTAGTCTTTCAATGTTTGTGGCTATCTATTTAAATAAACCCATCAACAGATGAATTTATAATAAAATGATTTCATTCGTAAAGCTTCAAATATTTCATACGTCTATCCTTAAGTATTTCTGAATAAGCTACAAATCATTTTAACATAAATTTGAAATATTCTGTAACATAAGGCACTTCCACACCAAGTACTTTGCCGTACTTAGTTCCCAGTACTTAGTTCATCAGAACTCTTTAGTTCTCATGAACTAAGTACAGATCGCGTTCACACCGGAATAAGTTCCCTGGGGAAGGATTAGTCAAATGAAGCCGCTGACGTCACTTCTTCTTCTTCTGCTTTGGGTTTACTGGCAGGCCGCAAACCACTTCACGGCGTATACTGCCGCCCAAAGTCCCCGGAGTTGGGGACTGGCTTCAGTAGAAGCTGCTGGGACTCCCAGCAGCTTCTACTGAAGCCTTCCGAGTAAATCGCCAGAACGCCGACACCTCCTCATCTCCACTGCTCCCATGTTTTCTTTTGTGTTGCCACAAGTTAGTCTCTCTCCGTTGGTGCGCTGGGCTAATGCTAATAATGCTAATAATGCTAATGCCAGCAAATAAAATGGCGGCTTCACAAAACTTTTCAAAGTTTTACAGGGCGTGGTTTGCAATCCGCCCAGCCAATCAGAAATGGGAACCTTTTTCTCCCAAGAAAGTACCTGCTCTCTAGCAGGGACGGAAAAGGGGGTGAAAAGGTTCTCATGAACTATGTTCTAGTTCCGGATTTTTTTGGTGTGAACGCAACATTTCAAGAACTATCGGAACTATACTGGGAAAAGTACTCCGGTGTGAAAGCGCCTATAGCGAGTCAAAAACAGGACTCCCATAGTTTAAAAAGTATCAAACTCTATATAAATGTACGCCGACCGGTTTGACAAGAAGGATATTTGATTATAAACGTGTTAAATACTCATGTTTGACCAAAGGACACTCACCTGTTGCTGAGACTGCAGCAGACACTCCAGGTAATTAATGATCTCTCTTTTACAGTTCCTGGCCTTCTCCTTCTGTTGGATCAAACAAAAACAACTCTGTAAGCGATAATGTTTCCAAAAGTCCAGTACCTGAATGCAGCACAGATAACATCAGTACCTCAAAGCGCACCACTTCCTTGCGCACGGTAGCAGAAACTCTTTCAAAGTCCCTCTCGTACTGCGTCACCTTGGCCTCCCACTGAGAGGAGCAGAGGAGAAGATCAAAGACTCGCAGTAAAGAGGCGCCATCATGTCATGGTATCAAAGAAAGGAGGTATTGAAAGTAGGGAAGTAAATGGTCATCGTATATTAATATTGAGTTTAAAAATCCGAAATTATAAGTTAAAAGTATCTCAGATTCCTGCCTAAGAAAGTTATTTATATTAGAAAATAAAACGTAATGAAATATTTTACATTTTGTGTTCAGTATTTCCTTCATTTTAGATTTTTTATTGACATCCCAAATATTGACTGACTGTGTTTTTATGACTTCTAACTATTAAACAGTGCTGCAATGAATCCATTAGTTATTCAAATGGAAAGGAAGGAGATTAATATACATTTTATTACAGTATAAAGCATATTCATTATAAGGTAAGTACTAATATATCTAATAAATATTGTGTCCTGACTATAACGAGGTTAATAAAAAAAACAGGTATGATTAAAAATCTAATTTGTTTCAACGTGCTTCCTGTTTCTGATGATGGGAACAATATAAAGGCTCTCATCACTCTAACATTGTACTCCATCTTGAATTTTTTTTTTTTATCTCCAGCACTCTCAGGCATCACAGTCTCATCTGGAGTTGTTCACGTTGTGGATATCGCCCTGCGTACCTCAGCGATCTCCTCTTTGGCCAGCTGCAGCTTGTCGGGCTTGTTCGCCCACAGCAGCTTGGCCTCTGTCTCTCTCTTCTTCTGCAGAGCGGTCTGAGCGTCCTGCCAGCGCTGCCACGCCTTCATCCGGTGATCAAACGACCCCTGAGACACACACACACACACACACACACACACACACACACACACATCACTAAAAGCTTAAGCCATTAAAGCAAGGCTACTATTCAGAAGTGCTTTTATCAGTAATAATTGCAGTTTCACCTGTAGTGGGGCTTTGCAATTAAAGAATTTTAATTATTTAATTATACCAGATTTCAAAGTAAACCTTTGCTTATATTTTCATTTGAAATAAATGTATTCAAGTGAGGGAAGAAGCTGCTCGGGTCTTGCTCAATCCTTAGGTCTACACTTAAATGTATAGAAGTACAATTCGACACAGCTTATTATGAAGTACTCTGAAATCGACATATCCAGTCTGCTAATTTATTTATATACACCTCAAGTGACCTTTGGAGTCAAAGTGATTCTGTTACAATGTAGATTATATTTTAATTAAACTTTTTGAGAAAATAATTAGAGTCAAGACATGTAGAAATGAACAGGTTTCCTCCGTACCCTGACGGCTCCCAGCAGGCGGATGTAGTCTGCGATGAGCTCTGCGAAGCTGAAGGTGTCGTTGGCGGCCTGGTCCTGGTGCAGCTGCTCCATCTTGTCCTCCACCTCGGCCAGCTGAGAGAGGGCGCGGGACAGAGCCGTGTTGTCCTCCGCACTGCCCAGCATCGCCGTGCTCTTAGCGAAGCCGGCCGTGTTCAACGACAGCTCTGGAGAGGGAACAGTTCAAAAACTTAATGACAATACTCCACTTTTTTTATTTTATTTAAAGAATTATATAGAAAACATCCAACAACCTATAGTAGGCTGAAGAAGTGCTATGACAAATACACATGCATTTGCTGAGGCAAGTAGTTGAATCTTTCGTTCTCCTTTTTGAGGATTACTGCAGTCTGGCGGGTCTTAGGGGTTTTCTGTTTCTGTCTTATCCCGTCATTGTGTATTTTGGTTTATTTTTGTCATTGCTATTACTGTAGTGGTCTTTTTATGCTATTATCATTATTGTTTTGTCACTTTTTTTTTATATAGCACCTGCATTTGTACTCTGTATTTTCTCCTGTCATTGTGTTATGTGTGGGAAAAACCATCACACATCATTAGGCGCTTTCACACCGGAGTACTTTTCCCAGGAACAGTTCCGATAGTTCCTGGGATTTTGCGTTCACACCAAAAAGATCTGGAACTAGAACTTTTTTTGCATTAGCATTATTAGCATTAGCCCAGCGCACCAACGGAGAGAGACTAACTTATGGCAACACAAAAAAAACATGGGAGCGGTGGAGATGAGGAGGTGTCTGCGTTCGGGCGATTTACTCGGAAGGCTCCAGTAGAAGCTGCTGGGACTCCCAGCTAATACTAATAATGCTAATGCAAGCAAATAAAATGGTGGCTTCCCAAAACCTTTTGGGAGTGTTACGTGGCGTGGTTTGCAATCCGCCCAGCCAATCAGAAATGGGAACCTTTTTCTCCCAAGAAAGTCCCTGCTCTCTAGACGGGACTGAAAAGGGGGTGGAAAGGTTCTCATGAACTAAGTTCTAGTTCCGGATTTTTTTTGGTGTGAACGCACATTTTCGGAACTATATCGGAACTAAACTGGGAAAAGTACTCCGGTGTGAAAGCGCCTATTGGGCCCAGAAAGACTTTTCCCGATTGACTAACATTGGGAAAGAAACGTCTGTAAATCAGCGGATAATTTAAAAAAAAAAACTAAATAAACTACCCAGTATTCTCCATTAATTCTACTGAGCCGAGAGTGGGAGCTTGGGGGGCGAGGCTTAAGGGGCGCATGCTCTGTGCACATACAGGTTCTTCTGCTCTGGAAGCTAGGCATGATGGGTAATCTGTGACGTTTCGCTCTCTCAAAAGTTGGGCCATTTTGTCCTCATGCGCCAATGAGCAGCTCTCATAGGAAAGAACGAGACCCCGCCTCCCACGCTGTATCCAGTTCTTATTATACATCCATGCTTCATTTGCGTAATCCTCCCTCAGGGACTTATTCCGGTGTGAACGCGATCTGCTCTTTAGTTCCGATGAACTAAGTACTGGGAACTAAGTACGGCAAAGTACTTGATGTGAAAGCGCCATGAGAACAAATACTGAAAATACTCCAAGAATAAAGGGATAGGATCTTGGAAAAACGTGGTGTTTTTTTTGTCACGGAACCACTTCAGGAGGTTGGATCAAAGTCATCTCCCCAAAGTTGCTGTTGCTTGTCACCACCGTTATGTGTCATTATTATTCTCAAAATCAGACGTATAATAATCAGTGTTTGAGGGGGAGGGGGCTGACCTTTCCTGTGGACCACCAGAGACTCCACCAATGCGTGGAGCTTCCTGAAGTGCTGATCTGAAGACTCCACCTCCTGCAGCTTCTCCTCAAACCACTGCAGGAAAACACGTCATTTATTACTATTTCTGTAACTATAGCTCTTAAATCCATTTCAAATCTATAATAACTTCTGTTGTTTTCACTGTCTACACTTTGTCATCTGTGAGGCATTTTGAACTGCATATACCAAAGGTGTCATACAAATACACTTGGATTGATTAATGATTGAAATAACATGTACATTTTTAAATGTTAAAAATCTTAAACATGTGAAGTTACACCGAGTCAAACAACTTGAAAAATGATTCAATCACATCTTTGTACGAGAATTGAACTACAATATTTCCCCAAACTTTTATGGTTACTAAGGTGAAATAATTACAAGTAAGCGAATGATAGACTTTCTAGATTCATAAACACTGATCCTTCATGTATTTATATGACGACTATTTAGTGCTTTCATGGAAATGTATTTAGCTTAAAACAAACTGGAAAGCTTTTGCCTGTGTGTGTGTGTGTGTGTGTGTGTGTGTGTGTGTGTGTGTGTGTGTGTGTTAGATAGTTAAAACTGTTATCTTGCACGTATGCAAACACACTGGACACAAATAAGTGAATCAATAGAACCAGATCAGTTTAGAAAGTCATGTTCTGATCATTTAAGAGCAATATAAACCCAATGAAGACATGTTTCCCTTAGTGCAGGTTCACCTCAGAATACATTCAGGTTGAATTATGAAACTCAAACAAGAAAACAGACTCATGTCAAGCAACAAAAAAACTCCCTAATCTGTTGGCCCAGTGCCGTCAGACTTGAACTGGGAGCTGGAAATGTTCTGCTTTTTACTGGATAATACAAATCTGCTGTTCAAAACAGTTGTGATTCTGAAGAAGCCCTGATGCAGCGGGAGTGTCTGTTTACATCTGGACTCACCACGTCTGACTCGTTCATTTTGATGGTCATTTTACTGACAGCATCTGTTGCTTTGTTGATCATTTTCAGGAAGCCGGCGCCACTCAGAGCCTGGGTGCTCGTTGCTCTGGGCAACTGGAGACACAGACACACAGTTATTAAATATTTAAAAACGTAATAAAACTTCAGATAAACAAATGGATTAAGATGTATAACACATCCCTCGATGCTGTATAGATTGTTCAATCGGAAAGTTATGACGTGCTAAAGTTAAGCACAGACAGGTTTGTGGGCTTTGAGAGAACAGTATTTAACATGTTTGTCTTGTAAAAAGCCCCAGAGAATTCCCAAATGCGTCTCACCTCATCTCTCTCCAGAAACTCTCTGACATCAGGATCCTGGAGGAGTGACGGGTGATTTACCACCCTCTGGAGATACCTGGTGAGGAGGAACAATGGAAATAAAACTCACTATCAGCTTCACTGTTTAATAAAGATTTAATGAACAGAAGGGCGGGACTACTTACAGCTTGGTAACACAATTTATTTTCATTCTTCCTGTCTTACCTCTCCAGAGCAGCTCTTCTTCTCTCCACAAAGTCTGCTGCGGAAGAATCATCCTTTCCCACCTTCACCTTTGTCATTCCTGTAAGAGAACATCCCTTCTTATAGCTGCTGGAAAGTATATTCACAGTTACACTATTAAGAGGAAACAGCCAAGTCAGCCTACCCAGGATGCTCTTCTCTGGAGGCGGAGGCACGATGAATCCATTTGGTCCATGTTTTTCAGAAAGCTTCTCGTAGAGGCCGAGGAAGTCGCTGAAGCGGCGCCTCACGGTGAACGTCTTGTTGCGGAACATCGGCATTTGGGTCTGAAACATGTTTTCATATTATTTAAATCGTATGTGACGTTCCTAAAACACTTTAATTTGGTTGATTACTACTCAGGGTATATGCAGGAATCCTGAAGTCAGATGTAAAACCTTTTAAGACCTTTTTAAAGACCCTTTCCATACATTTTAAGACCTCATCGCCACTTAGAGTTCTAACCGGTTATCTTGGCGACACACTTCACCTCACATTGACTATATGCAGTATTGATTGTCCTTCCTCCTTATCTTCCAACCATTTGGACGCAGACTTGCATTTCCCCATAACGATGTTGTTTAACAACCGGCGTAAACGGACCTCCGCGCGCTATCAAGCAGTGAGCGTGCGATGTCCTGTTCAGATGACGTCAAATCCAACGGGATGCCATCAATAAACTACACAGAATCACACTACACACCTACGCAATGATTACATTCAGGCAGACTGTAGAATGCAACCTCTTTGGACACTTTATATACTTATTGAAAACAAGCTACAAAATGTAATACCTTGGAAAATGCCGTTTGAGCATTAATTTTCGCTAAATTGATCAACTTTTAATACTTTTTAAGACCCCGCGGACACCCTGTGATCTATAGGATTTACATCAGGTGGACATTTTCCAATTATAAATCACTTCTACAAAAAACACATTTACTATGTCAAGCTAAAATTACAAATATTGTAGGAGCCATTTTGTGAAATGTTACCCCACTCAATAAGGCGGAGAGTCACGTTTTATCTTCGCAGGCCGTTAGATTTATTTGCCATTTAGCTAATTTTCTATACAGATTTATAGCCTTAATTTTCGCTAAATTGATTTATCAACCTTTAATACTTTTTAAGACCCCGCGGACCCCCTGGTGATGTAATCCTTGTCTGCTATTCAAGAACAGTGCATGGCCGTTACTCCTGAAAAACGCTGACCAGCACTTCCTGTTGCCACACATCTGATGAGTAACTGCTAACGTCCTCTGGATTTAAGATGACACACTTTTTGTCATATGAAAAGCTGCATATCAATATATGTGTTTACCTGTGTGGTTACTTTGTAGCCCATGTAGGCGTTCATTCCATCACCTGTTGAAAAAAAGGGATAAAAGTCAGTCAAAAATAGACAAATTGATTATTAGAATATTAGTTAAGTCAAGCTGAATGGAGGTTTTCCTTTGTGATCTTTTAGCCCCTCTTTTTGGTTCCTTTGTCTTTTTCACATGAGCACCTCAGAATAAATGTTGCCTGCTTAACTCTTACAGTCCAAAACTAATTACAAGCCTTATTGCAATTCAATAAATAATAAAACAGATCATAAACATCCTTACCAACTTTTTCAGGATCTTTAACAGACACCAGGATCTCAAATTTGTCTTCCTGTTCTTCTTCTTCTTCCTCCTCTTCCAACTGAAACAAATATTGAACATATAGTTAAACACTGACAGTGGCATTGATCTGCTGTCACCAAACATTTATATGGAAGTTCATTTTGAAACGTTGGCTCTGGTGCTAAACCAGTCGGAAAATACTAATTGAACGACCAACTGAGCTTCTCAAAAGACCGTCCAGAAAACTTGAATTAGCAATTCCTCAAACGGTTTTTTAAGTCATTCCTTTGTTGCAGTCTATTGGGATTTTCATTCTGAGATAATGTGTGTGTGTGTGTGTGTGTGTGTGTGTGTGTGTACCTCCTCCAGGGCAGCAGCTTGTGGCTTCACCAGGCTGGCAGCAGCTGACAGGGGGGCGGCGGCGGACGTAGACGGTGCGACTGTCACATCTTTCTTTCTCTCTTCCCGCGGACTGTCGAGGGAAAGCTCCACTGTGGCTTCTGTCAGGAAGAAACAGAAAAGAAACCAGCCTTTTGTTATTACATGCACAAGGAGGCGTGTGGCACAGTGGCATAGTGCGTTGGTGTTCGGATCAGGAGAGCACAGGTTCAAACCCCACTGCAGTCAGCATGTCGTTCTCGAACTTGCTACCCCCTGATTCGAAGTCCAGCACACTATCCACTGAGCCACAGCCTCCCTCATATATGTCGAGAAATGCATATTATTTTTTTCACTTCTAAGGCTGTCTGAAGCAAAATTGTGCTTAAAAACACATTTAATACCGACATTCACTCTGAAATCATTACCTACAGTTTGCCCTTTTTGCCTCTAGTTTATTACAAACTAGTGTTGTAAACTGAAGTCACAAGTGTCTCATTTATTGGTCAGTTAAAGGGCAACTCCCACATTTCTACTGAAATCTGAGGACTACTCCATACATTATTAAGAGTTGATTAATCGCCTAAAATAATGTATTTGAGTCAGCGTTTTGATAAGGAGGAGGAAAGCATGGAAAAGATAAAGCCATATCTCTGGTTCTGCTGCACTGATTTGAATCCTTTGTGTTTATTTGAACTGTCAATGTGATAATGAATAGCATTACAATGCTGAGTCTGTGGAGAGTTTTATAAATCAACCATGAAATGAATCCCTGCTTAGAATCTTTCCGTTAACCTTTGTTGCGTGTCATCCTCTGTCCGTCTCCCTTCATTTCCTGTAAGCTTTCTACCGTCCGCTAATCCAATAACGACAAACATACCTCCAAAAAATAAAGACTGAAAGGACATTATATGACATCTGGTGCTTTCAAAATGTAGTTCTGGTTATGTTTTTATATGCAGTAAATCGCTTATATAAGTATTTTGATTCTGGAGTGCAGTTATGTGCAGATTTGAATTGAACAGTTCTTATATATCCGGGGGAAAAAAGGGGGTTAAGGAGATTCTGAATGAATTGTTCTTTGTGAACACTACATCCAGATAATGTTCCATAAAACCAAACATAGTGGACCCACCTGCAAATATATCCATGTCCTCTTCAGAGTGGACTCCATTGGTCTTGGAGCTGGCGGCGCTGGTGTTTTTGACGATGGGCACGGTGGCGACGGCTTCCTCACTGAAGAGATCAGCAGGTTCTGCAGGAGTACTGTCCTGCAGAGGCCCCCCCATGTTGCTAACATCAGTGGAAGCAGCTTTGGTTTTGACGGGTTTGTCCTTCGGCTCCGTGCTCACAGCTTTCTTTGAGGTGGCCCCCAGCGGCTCACCGAACAGATCCTCGTCCGCTTCTCCGAAGAGGCTCTTCTGCTGCTTGGCAGGTTTGGTCTGCCGTGCTTCTGTGAAAAAGTCGCTCCCCTCCTCGTCGAAAAGATCGACTGTTGCCGGTGTGGCTATTTTGGCTTCGGCAGCAGCACTAAGGAGGTCAACCAAGGGGTCACTGAACGTTTGGCTGGCAGGCGGTGGCTGTTGTGTTTCAGTGGCTGGCGAAACAGCGCCGAGAAGGTCTTCCAAAGGGTCAAAGAATGCTTTGCTGGCACGCGGTGGTTCTTGTGTTTCAGCAGGTGGGGAATCATCAATGATGATATCAACCAAAGGGTCAGCAAATGTGACGCTGGCAGGCGGTGGCTGTTGTGTTTCTGCGGCGGGCGAAACATCACTGAGAAGGTCTTCCAAAGGGTCAACGAATGCTTGGCTGGCAGGTGGCGGCTGTTCTGTTTTAACGGCTGGCAAATCAGCACCGAGGTTGATAATTGGATCAGAGGAAGTTTCTATTGCTTCCCCTTCCTCATCACTTCCTGTTTTCCCGTCAACAGGTGGAACTGTAACACTACTGGCCTCTTCAACCTTATCCGTTGGCGTTTCTTCAACAGTAACATCTGCTTCTACAACTTCCTCTTGCGGGGCTTCGGTTTCACTTCCAAATATGTCTTCAAATTCCTCCGCGGGCTCGTCTAAAGGGATTTCAGTGTTGTCCTCTTCTGGATCTGCAACGGGACTCTCAGCTGTGTCTTCTTCATCCGGAGAGTCGGTGATGTTGTTAGTTAGGTCAACAAAATCATCCGAGGGGTCGCTCATGACTTTGCTGGATGGTGTGTTTGCTGTTTGGATGCTGACGGGCTCGAATAAGGGGTCATCCATGAGGTCAACGGGAGGTTTAATTAAAACATTACTGGGTTCAATGGTAGGAGACAGTATGCTGTCCATTCCAGTCAGTGGAGGGTTGCTCTGGAGAGAAGGGGGAAAAGATTTCAAATTTTAGAGCATGGGTCTTTTAAACGAGGTACGCGCCCCAAATACGATCAGAGTTACAGTAGAGGGGCGGACTAAACAATTTGATAATGTTTCAAAAGTTGTTTTTCTTTTAAATGTTTTAATGTAGTAGCTTCATTTTGCATGTACCATTAAAATGTATGTATGTACATACATACATGGCACTTAAGGACAACACAGGCCATGGTTCTCAGCAGGAAACCGATGGACTGTCCACTTCAAGTAGGGAATGAGTCCTTACCCCAAGTGAAGGAGTTCAAGTATCTCGGGGTCTTGTTCTCGAGTGAGGGAACAATGGAGCGTGAGATGGGCCGGAGAATCGGAGCAGCGGGAGCGGTACTGCAGTCGCTTTACCGCACCGTTGTGACGAAAAGGGAGCTGAGCCAGAAGGCAAAGCTCTCTGTCTACCGGGCCATTTTTGTTCCTACCCTCACCTATGGTCATGAAGGATGGGTCATGACCGAAAGAACGAGATCGCGGATACAAGCGGCCGAGATGGGTTTTTCTCCGCAGGGTGGCTGGTGTCTCCCTTAGGGATAAGGTGAGAAGTTCGGTCATCAGGGAGGGACTCGGAGTTGAGCCGCTCCTCCTTCGCGTCGAAAGGAGCCAGTTGAGGTGGTTCGGGCACCTAGTTAGGATGCCACCTGGGCGCCTCCCTAGGGAGGTGTTCCAGGCACGTCCAGCTGGGAAGAGACCAAGGGGTAGACCTAGGACCAGGTGGAGGGATTATATCTCTTCGCTGGCCTGGGAGCGCCTTGGGATCCCCCAGTCAGAGCTGGTTGATGTCGCCAGGGAAAAGAAAGTTTGGGGCTCTCTGCTGGAACTGCTACCCCCGCGACCCGACCACGGATAAGCGGAAGAAGATGGACTTAAGGACAACATGTCATGTGCAATTCATTTTTATACATATGAAGCAGGGGGTCCCTGCTTCGTTTATTTCCCGGCTAAGGGGTCTTCCATGTCTTCTAATTGTATGACAAAAAGTCCAAACCCCAAATAAATGCTATAAACACTAAACAGAACGAAGTAGAACATCTGTCAATCGTGTAAAAGATTAACTATATAATCCTTTTTCCTCAGTCAGTTTAATATGCTTTCCATGACGGTCATGAGGGTAGTGGAAGGAATACAGTTTCTTCATATCATAACATGTCTATAAACATTCATAGAAACTGTCCCTCCAGCATTATAGAGGTCTCTGTATCAAGTTAAATGGGTTTTAACTAGGATATTGCACCGACAAAAACTTCCACAAACGTATCAACGTTAAATAAAACAAAAAAATGTTTAGCTGAATTAAACAGGTTTTTTGAGTGATTTTCAGTAGGCAGAGAAAGTGATAAATGTGACTTCCTGTTTGTTGTCATATTAGATTTATGAGTGAAAGCCAGATGCTTTACAACTCATTTGCACTTTATGTTCCACATAATTCTGAGCTGAGCCTCCAGATGACACTTTTGGTAGAACCACTTATTGTGAAGAATGCACAAAGAAAACAAATACATTTAACTTAAGGCTATTCGTGTAATGAATAATGCAAATATTCCCTTGAAATGAAAAAATGATGACTTTATAATGGGAGAAAGCAATGTAGTACGGAGTTATCGAATCATGATTCAAGCTAAATATTGCTCATAAAGAAAATAAAGTCCATTTTTGGTTTATTGTGTACGCCTTACACAACAGTCCTGCAAAAACCTAACTTCCAGGAACTTTCTTTTATTGCATTGGCGGAAATAGCCTATGTTAAACACAACATCCACAATTTGCTGAGTAAGCTTTTCCATGCAGCAGTGAATCCAGCAGGAAAAAAAGGGGAGAAAAAAATCAAAGACAGCGACTTTCCAATCTCCTCTCTGAACTTTGACTGTAGGAAAACATCCGGGTTCTGACCATGTGACCACAGCTCACTCACATGACAGGAGGCTGCTCAGGCCAGCTTTTTAACCTCATTCACAAACCACCAAAAAGGGAGAGTGAATTTTCAAATATATTCATTTGAATAACAACAAAAAATGAGGACGTTCACAAACCACACAGACCTCATTTCCTGTAGCCTACTCCAATTTAACTGCTTCTTGTTTACCTATGCATGGCCTTAAAGTCTGCACATCCAAAATGTTTAAGATGATAGCCTACCTTCAGATTTCAGTGTAAGTTAACCGGAAGTATGGCCGATTTCTGCACAGAAAAGGCTTTAATTTGTGTCATCTGGTTACCCAATTGACCTCATTAAAATCTCAGCCAGCCAGTCCTCCACATTGCAACTTTCAGGAATAAATCAATACCAAAATGGGCGTTTGAAACAGTGTCAAAGATAGCAGGCTGTTTTAAAAAGTCTGAAATTGTGATGAAAGGTGGATTTGTCTGCCTCCTCTCGAAACACTCCTTTGATAATTACAGTAAAGGCTGTAGGTCTACAATTGCACGACACAACAGTTACTAATGTTAACATGATTTGATTACCGTTTCCCCAATGCTAAAAACAAGCTCAATGTTTGTCTTCACCTAACAAAACTTTTGCTAAAATGCGCCTTATTAGCCGTATCTGCTGACGTTAGCTCACCATAATTTTGGCAGTAAATGACAGTAAAAGCTAACTATTCTTAAGGCAGTAGATGTCAGTAAAAGCTAACTATTCTTATGGCAGTAAATGTTAGTAAAAGCGTACTATTCTTATGGCAGTTATTGGCAATTAAAGCTAACTATTCTTATGGCAGTTAACATCAGTTGTTAGCCACATCAGATTAGCTTAGCTTAAAATCAAGCAGACATACTGTGCTCATGAAGAGATCGTCCCCGTCGTCTTCATCACTGTCTCGGCCTCCAACTTCTTCGGTTTCCAGCACATCTTGGTCCTCGGAGTCGGGAAACGGAGGAGGACTACGCTCCGAGCTGGTCGCCATCTTCAAATCTTCTTAAAACAAACACAAGGGGAGGTCCGTCCACAGCTCCCCTTCTTCTGCTCCTTTTAGCGGCTAACGTCAACTCCGCTGCTACAGCTAAAACTGTGGCAGTTCTCCTGAAGACAGTACAACTAAAAGCAGGGGAGGAGGAGTGATCGGCTTCACGACGTGCAGACCTCCGCTCTCTGTTTTACTTCCTGGTCCTCCTCTTCTGGTCAGGTTAGCACCACCGTTAGCTTCACTGAGAGGCTTGGCAGTCATGAGACAGATGCAGTAGCGGTGCACACAGCATTATGGACCAGGGCAGGAGTTGATCTCAAAGGTGTGTGTAAGCGGATCTGCTCAAAGGTCATATTGGGGACGTCTGAGTGTTTTGGGGGTGATGCCTCGTCACGACGTGGAGGCGAGGGAGCCGCTTCTCACCAGGGAACACCTGAAGCCAAATGAGCTGGAATCCGATGAAGGTACAGTATGTCTTTTTGTATTGTGTTATTTCACCTGCTAAATACACGTTTTCAGTATTTTAGATCAGCTAGAAATGCATGATCAAAAACCAGATAGAACTTGTTTTCACATTTAGAGTTTACTCTTTAGATATGCCTGGTTCTCACAGGACTGCGACAAAGTCCTGTGAGAAGACAAAGCTTCATGTGATTATCCTATAGATTAGTATGCATTGCTGTGTAGATTTAACTACCCACCACTATACCATATGCAAGTGAAAATATTTACAAACTATATTATTAGAGTACTATGTCTTAAACAGAGGTGTTAAGTAACTAAGTATTTACTGTAGGTTAAGTACTGTACCTAAGTACAATGCTGAGGGACTTTACTTGAGTGTTTACATGTTTTGTTACCTTGAACTAAATTGTGTACTTTTACCCCACTATATTTATTTAATAACTTAGTTTTTTAGTTACACCTTGAGTACATCCAGATGTAATAATGCATCAATAATTATAATCGAAACATAATAATATATTCTGAAATGAGCCATTCTGTATAATGAATAGTTTTGGTTCTTTAAGTATATGTTGACGCTAACACTTTTGTACTTTTACTTGAGGAACATTTTGATTTCCGGACTTTCACTTGTTCCTACACTCTTGGACTTCTACTTTTACTTAAGTACAACATATGGGTACTTCTCTCACCTCTGGTCTTAAATAACAAACATAAACTCACTATCTCTATTCAAAATCAAAAGGCTACCAGAGGCCCAATAAACATATGGTTTTGGGGAGACTGGGGACAGTTGCAACAAGTCTTATTCTTCCATCAGAAACATGTCAACGATACTCATACTGTAGTAGATGCTCCGTTAGATCCTACTTCCACCAAAAAACAACACACATGTATTGGTTTCATGACTGACAGGGTGGGGACAGTTGAAAAAAACATGTTGCAACTTGCGGCATATCATAACAGACCACAAGCTTTTGTAAACATATTGTACCCAGGGTTGGGGTCAGTTGCCAAATCTGACTTATTCTATTTAACATATTTAAGTTGAATGTATAAATACTAGTTTAGTCCTGACCAAATAGTCATTGAGAAATGCACAAAGTGTTGCAACAGTCTCCCTTTATATAATATAAGACACATCATTAATACAAATTATAGCACCAACAAAATGGGGGGCTAAAGCTCTCGTGACCTCTTAAATATCTGTTTAAGCTGACGCCTTTGTTTCACTTCACTGTTTGTGTGTTTTTTGCTGATTATATTTTAGGTGAAATCATTTTCGACAGGAGTTCATCAAACCTCCCACGGGACGCTGGTGAGAGCTCACAGAGAAGATTAACATATGAGGAAGCAGTAGAGGAAGCAGGTAATAACACCTTTTTGATCCTTTATATAGGTTTAAATAGGAGGATTATAAGATGGGAAATGCATCATACACAATCTAAAAAAGGACGGCAAAACAATCAATAATAATATTTCTTAACAGTTTCTGACTTAATAGATTTTTACAGCATCACTAAACCATACATGTGATACAGAGGTGTGTGTTGACGGTAATGGACAAAGCAGCAGCTGCAGACAGCATTACCGTTAATATGGTGCGTTAACTGATAACGTTTCTCTTTGTTGATTCATTCCTTGTTCTGCTTTTGCTCTCAGGGTTTGGGTTGTTCCACTGGCTGCTGTTGGTGGTATGTGGTTGGGCCAATGCCAGCGATGCCGTGGAGATTCTCTGTGTGTCTTTCCTCCTGCCGACGGCGCGCTGCGATCTGCTGCTCAGCTCCTCAGACATGGGCCTGCTGACTGCCAGCATCTTCCTCGGTGAATAACAATCATTTAATAAATATGTTACCATGACTGAGCAAATATTCTCCGGTTTCAGATCCTCAAATGAGTCTTTGCTGCTCAACAAAGTTTTAAACAATCAGGAAAACAACCTTTTCATTTATTCACGATCAATCAAAGTAAACGTATTTGTCCTAGCAGTGTTACAAGTGTATGAAAGACTTTAAGAAAATAAATGGGCTAAGACAAGATGTAAAAAAAAAAGTTTTGGGTTATTGGTCTCTATACTTATTAAATACCTATTTTGTGGTGAGGTGAAAAAAATAAACAATTACAGAAAAACGCACAACACATGATGATGCCGTGAAAATGTAAAAATAGTTGATTTGTTTATGGTGTCGTGGACCATTGATCAACTGTCACAAAAAACAATAAATGGGGCAGCTTTAGCAAACATTGCTCATTTCCAGCTGTTGTCCCCGGCCAGATGATAATGGACACCCTTGTTTGTTTGTTTGTAGCCTTTATTTAACCAGGTGAAAGCCCCTTGAGATCAAAAGATCTCTTTTTCAAGGGTGACCTGCAGGACATTAGTTACACATGTAACATGAAAACAACAGAACAACAATAAGGATGACAAACAACATAATGTACAGGGTACAAACTCTATTTACAGAGACAGGTACCTTGAGTATCAAACAGCATGTCACCCAGCCGAGTTTTAAATGATGCAGGGGAACTGTGGGACTGACCGTTGAGCGGCCCAGACCAAGCAAGGAGGCAGAGGCAGAACGTCCAAAAATATAACCCGGCAAATATTAAAATCATGCGCACAAAGTTCACAGCCTCAATCCTGCTGTTCTCCTTGCACACATCCCGCAGCCACAAGGATCTCACACACACCCAGTTACAAGGAAACAGCACCTAAATACACACATACTAACAAGACACAGGTGAGGGGGGAGGAGACAACACAGGACACCAGGTGCACACAATCATCAGCCACAGACATCAACATATTATTTGCACCCTGATTACTCTCAACCGCTGTCATCCTTACCCCAGCATAACTCCTCTCGGCGCTCTCGCAAACTCCCCTATCTTTTCAGGCGGAGCCGAGGACCCGACCAGCACCTGCCAGACGACATTCCAATAAATACGGTTTAATCAGTTAAAAAATACTACCTCAATAATTAGTATAAATTATGTGCAAATATATAATGTCAACTGTACTGTGCAAACACGCTAATAAAGTGCAATATTACCCGGCTCGAAGCCGTCAGTCCATAGTGACGAAGTTACCTTCGTCACAGGAACCAAAGTGCTCAGTTTTAAACATGTTTGCAGACTGTTCCAATTTAGTGGAGCTGCTCAACTAAAAGCTTTCTTCCCTAAGACAGTCCTAGCACTTGGCACATTTAATAAAACAACATCATGAGATCTCAGGCAATATGTACTTTCAATTCGTCGAGAGATCAGAGAGCAGATATAAAAAGGTAGTTTACCCAACATGGCTTTATAGATGAACATGTACCAATGACTGAGCCTCCGTACAGTTAGTGAAGGCAGTCCTGCCTTGGCATACAGGGTACAGTGATGAGTAAGTGCTTTACAGCTAGTAACAAATCTCAGGGCACTGTGATAGGCGGCATCTAACTTTTCCAGGCAATGGGCAGGTGCATTCATATGGATCAAATCACCATAGTCCAGCACAGGTCAAAAGGTCACAGTGACTAGCCTTTTCCTGGCTTCAAATGAGAAACAGTTTACAATCACAATACATCAATACAGGTTGTACGTATTCACAGCAATGCTAAGAGCTAAATGCTAATGTTGGTATAACATTTTTGTTTTCTAGGAATGATGGTGGGGGGCTACATGTGGGGGTACCTGGCTGACCAGAGGGGGCGGCGCCGGGTCCTGGTTGTGTCCCTCACAGTGAACGGGGTGTTTGGAGGTCTGGCCAGCGTGGCCCCCTGGTTCTGGCTCTTCCTGCTGCTGCGGTTCATCAGCGGCATCGGGTGAGCACGGGATTTGCATATGTTTGTATTGTGTCTCCTGGAGTTATATAGCTGACGGTAACACACGCAATGAAGTATGTTTCAGTGCTCAGACAGAACATACTGCAGCCACCAGGGTCATAGTTTGTATCCCTATAACACCTTCATGTTCCTTTTAGGTACAACATTACACAAAATATTTATATTACCTTAGTTGTGCCCTCATTTTGCCAGTGTAGCATGAATAAACAGTCACTAAAATGAATTGTGTTTTCCTTCCCTTCTGCAGTGTCGGCGGGTCCATCCCTGTCATCTTCTCCTACTTCTCTGAGTTCATGCCCAGACGGAGGAGAGGTGCGATGATCAGCGCTCTGGCCACCTTTTGGATGGCAGGCAACATCCTGGCTGCAGGTGGGAAAACTCATAAATAAAACAATATCAAGGCTCATTGCTACCAACGCTGGTGTTATGAGAAACCTAAGTCACATGATAAGCAAATTACACATTTGATATACCTACTTCAAAAAGGTAAAGACTTATTCCCTTTGGGGCGACAGTATCTAAATAATAAAAAGTGTAGACCTGTGTGTTCAATAGTTCCTCACCTTGTACCTGCAGGTCTGGCCTGGTTAGTGATCCCAAGGACCTGGGCTCATTTCTCCCTGGGGTTTCTGGACTTCCAGAGCTGGAGACTGTTTGTGGTTCTCTGCTCTGTTCCCAGCCTCACATCAGCCCTGATGTTCAGGCTGCTCATGCCTGAAAGCCCCAAGTTCCTCATGGAGGTATTTAAATGCCGGATTAGATATCATGATTGCAGCCTGCTTTTTTTTCTTCCCAGCAGACATTTAGATTTTTGTTTTGTCTTTTCCAGGCTGGCCAGGAGAAAGAGGCGCTCCATGTTTTCAAGGTGATATTTAAGCTGAACATGCGGGGAAAGGGAAAGTCTTTACCGGTAAGAACCTAATTATATTCGTATATATACCTCTATGATTTGTTATCATTGTTTTGGGGCACAATGTGTGTAGCTTAAAAACACTGATGAATTGTAAAGTCTACAGAACAAATAAACTTATATTTGAGCCAAAGAAACATTAGAAGAGCAAAAGGTGAAATGAAACGGGAAGTTATATTTCAAGTTAATGGGAGTTTCTTTTATTATTATTATTACTTCCTTGATTTTATAGTACAGTAATCTACTCTAAGTGTGACCGCTTTCATTTGAAACTCTTGAAGGAATTTGGTTTATGCATCAACTCCAAGAAAAGATCTGAACAGGAGGAGACCGGACCCCACGGTTCACAACGAGAGAGACTTTGCTGTATTGTGAAAAAGGTAATGTCACACAAACAGACAAGCTCCACATCCAGATTGTTCGAGGTTATCCGAGTAAAGTGTGTAGGCACTATCACTGTTTAAACTGTGTCCTAGTTTGACCTGAAGTATCATGGTTGGATTAACCTGCTATGCTTGCTTGCTCTAAAACTGGCTGGAACCAGGTTTAGGGTTTCAGCTCACTATTATGTGAATTTTTTTGCAAATTGAATGAAAAAGATAATTGCTGCTTAGTTCATTGACTTATTAATAAATGGTCTGTTCAGCAGCTATGAAGGTTTAGTGAGTTAACACAATCATTTAGGAAAAACTGGACTTGGACATTAAGTGTCTCCTTAAGATGAAGCAATGGACGGATCATATTTAGCTTTACATATTTTAAATAGAATTGGCAGACAACCATTTGACACACAGTCAGACTGGGCAGTTGTCCATTAGATTTAAACTTTATATAATCATTTTCCCCTCGATTGCCATTTTTATTTTAAATTGTTTATGTGTTTAATTTGCAGGCCATGATGCCCATCAAGCAGATGTTTAACGGTTCGCTCAGATCCAGGAGTTTCGCTCTGCTCATCATCTTCTACTGTATCTCCTTTGGGTGAGACGTCCAATCTGATCGCCTGCATGTAAACTAAAGAGTATCTGTAGTGTAGCTGGAGGTCTCCTTCAGACTACATGTTGTCAGGGACATGTGCAAAGTTCAGGGCTTGTATTTATCATGTGTGTTTCAACACTGCTGATGTGATAACTCTACGGCAGGCGGCTGCGCAGTAGGAGATAACCATTGCAGAGATTATCTTCAACAACCAGGAGTCTGCAAAAACTGCTAAAAAAATGTTAATCTTATGAAACGTTTTACTAAACTACTACACTCTCAGCGTAGGACTTGTACATTTTATGGTTGATTTATATTTGCACACACAAGAGGACAAGGAATGTGACAGGAGAGGTCAGGAGGCCACGGCCTAAACTATGGACCTCATCTAATCTTAAGAACAAAAAAAAGATAATACAATTAAGCTAACATGTCCCTGAAAAATAATAAAAAATAAGTGTGTGTGTGTGTGTGTGTGTGTGTGTGTGTGTAGTTACTACGGGCTGTGGATGTGGTTCCCAGAGTTGTTTAACAGGATAGAGAACGGCGGCTCGCCCTGTGCCAACACCTCTCTGTCGTCTCTGCTCCACAACCAGAGCTGCTACCCGGTCAAAACAGCAGGTGGGCTTCTGGGAAAATGACACACCTTTTAGATAAAGCAGTACAGATTGTGTCCTACCCCACTGCATGCTGGGAAAGCCTCCAGTCCCCTGAATACCTCAGAATAGTCTGCTATAGAAATTGATGAAAGGATGTATCTCTTCCTCACGTGGCAGTGTACATGGAGGGCTTCATCGTCGCTGCTTCAAACTTACCAGGAAACATCTTCACCATCCTCATCATGGACACCATGGGAGGAAAGGCTCTACTGTGTGAGTCTTTAAAGCTTTGTATCAATATTGTAACAACATTTATGCACCTAAGAATTGTCCTTCAGCATATCCAGTTGAAAACTTTGAATAATGATCCCTGAATCTCCTCGCCTCCTCGTTGTGTGTGCAGCCGTCAGCCTGATGGTGTCCAGCATCAGTGTCTTCTTCATCTACGTGGTGCAGACCAAAGCCCAGAGTCTTCTTCTCTCCTGCATCTTCAGCGGGGTGTCGGTGATCGCCTGGAACTCTCTGGATGTGCTGGGAACTGAGCTCTACCCGACACAGATGAGGTAACTTTCTTTACAGCCTTTGAACACACACACACACACACACACACACACACACACACACACACACACACACACACACACACACACACACACACACACACACACACAGAGGGCCGCCCCTCCCTACAGGCCAATCACACAGGCTGCATGGGGCCCCGCCTTGCGCAGGGGGCCCGCCCAGAGGGCCTCAGCTGCTGTGCGCAGTTCTCCGCTCAGTTCTCCGCGCACCCCCGGCTGACACGCGAGAGTGAGAGGTGACAAGGGGAGCACGTCTGTAACCCGACACCGTTGCTATGAATCGACATCTGACCAATCACGGCTTTGATACGGCCACTAGTGCAGATGACGAGATGTCGGTGAAAAGACAGTTTCAGTCCGGCGCAAAAAACAAAACATATGAAGAAACTAGAGCATCACTCGAAGGTGGGTTATTGTATGAGTCAAATGTACAACTTGCGAATGTTGTATAAGTCAAATTGCCAATTGCCATATTAAAACATCAGCTGCAATTCACGACATGAAGAAGGCAGTCTCTGCATACAGGCTAATGGAGATGCAGTTATTTCCAGCATTCTTTATTTACCATTCATTCAAGTATGTGATGCCTTTGATCTGCTAATGTACAGGAGGAAGAGTGATAAACTGTCTGTCGGCTTACATAACAGTTAAAGTTTACAGCCTAAAAAACATGGAGCATTTTTCCCCCTTATATTCATTTTTATGTCAATTTGCACATTTCATGGTGACGCTCAGCCTCTCCCCTTAACTCCTAACAGTCATCATCATGTCAACCACCACACAGAGAAATACTGATAGAAATGTGTGTGTAGTTGTTGATACATTGCTGACAGAGGGAACTACATTTGAATACAGATTTAAGAAATATCAGTTTTTGAGCATGTCATAAGCATGTTTTGTCTTGACTATATTACAACTATATTATAATAAAATAATATAGTATTTATATTATTGAATTGATTATGATTATTATTATTATTAGTAGAAGTTGTTTATTTGCATTAATTATATTTTAATCTTTTTGAGGCTAGTATTTGGCAGGAAATGCAGACGTATTCACCTGTAAACGCATACTGAACGACATACATGCACAACCATTTACCTCACTGCATAAAAAAGTGTTTTGTATAATAGTATAATAATAAACAGGAATTATATTTGCAAAGTAGCCTACTTTGTTTCCAAACACATTTTTTTTCACTCCTGTCGGTTGGGGGGGGGCCTCATCTCACAATGTCGCTTGGGGCCCCAAGTTGGCCAGGGGCGGCCCTGCACACACACACACACACACACATACACACACACACACATACACACACACACACACACACACACACACACACACACACACACATTGTTCAGTTCATCTGGCTTATTACACTTATTTGTTGCACCTTTAACACTAGAACCGCCAGAGGTCGCTGTATACCTAAAACCGCCAACGGGTCAAATTGACCCGCTATTGATTTTCAAGGTACAATGTTCTTTTGTTTATCATACAGAGCAGTGAGTTTTGATCGCACAGGGATCAAACTTATACCAATAGAATCTGTGGACTTTTCATATGATATAGTTTGTGCAGATAGCATGAAGTATAACATATCGCTACCAGTGCTGATTTAAACACTTGGTGTTAGACTTGTGTTTTGTTTAGGTACAAATCTCTCTATATCTATCTATCTATCTATCTATCTATCTATCTATCTATATATATATATATATCTATCTATCTATCTATCTATAACTATCTATCGATCTATCTGTCTATCTGTCTGTCTATCTATCTATCTATCTATCTATATCTATCTATAACTATCTATCTATCTATCTCTCTATAACTATCTGTCTGTCTATCTATCTATCTCTCTCTATATCTATATCTATCTCTCTATAACTATCTATCTATCTATCTATCTATCTATCTATAACTATCTATCTATCTCTATCTATATCTATCTCTCTATAACTATCTGTCTGTCTGTCTATCTATCTATCTCTCTCTCTCTCTCTATATCTATATCTATCTCTCTATCTATAACTATCTATCTCTCTATCTATCTATCTATCTATCTATCTATATCTATCTATCTATCTATAACTATCTCTCTATCTATCTATCTCTATCTATCTATCTATATCTATCTATCTATAACTATCTCTCTATCTATCTATCTCTATCTATAAGGAACCGCAGTAGACAAAAGGCGTTGCTATAGCAACATGTCATGTTTACGCTGCATTTTCTATGAGGTAAATATTACCCGCTGGCGGATATAGGTATAAATGGCATTTTTTTTGGGCGGTTTTTTCAATCTGACTTCATATTGACAATTGTTTAACAACAGAGGGTGCTACATAACACACTTTCAGGAAAAGTCACGGACTGGGAGACTTTAATATTTCACTGAAAAAAAGTTACATACAATCAAAAAAACAGCTGCGGGTAAAACTGACCCGTTGGCGGTTCGAGTGTTAAGGGTGGGATAAATGCATATTTATCAACCCTGATGGGGATTTACAAGATCACAAAATGTCCATCTACCAATAAGAATAAACTGTAAATGTAAAAGTACAGTTTGTAGTTTTTAACTAGATGAATGAGACACCTAACCTAAATTCAGCATAGCCCAGAAAAGCAACTTAAGCATTGGTTTAGATTTCTTTTTTAAGACTTAAAGACAAATCTGAGCATAAAGAAAATAAATAGAGAAATAGCATTGTTGCACATATTTATAGTTGTTCTACTGTACTCTAACAAACAGCTGCTCACATGTTTTGATGTTTCTCTTCTCCCTTCAGGTCCTCCGCTCTGGGTTTCTTCACAGGAGTGGGCCGAGTCGCTGCCATCATGGGGAACATAGCCTTTGGAATGCTGGTGGACTCAAACTGTGCCGTGCCCATCCTGCTGGTGTCCGCTCTGCTGCTGACCGGAGGGCTGGTGGCTCTGCTGCTGCCTCAGACCAAACACTCCGAGCTCACCTGAAGGATCAGTGTCTTTATAGGAATACGTTATTAGAAAACACCCTCTGAAAGTTATTATAGTGAGTAGACAGGAGGAGGCTGCTTTATCCTGGTTCTGCTCCCAGAGGACGTTTATATCCTGTGCCTTCTGTCATTTCGCTGTGCCTTCTGGAGCTGCCTTATTGAAAAGAGACAGTATTTATGAGAGTTTGAGAGGATCACAAATCCTTACCAGAAGTGAGTCCGAGTATGAAGGAAACTTTTAAAAAGTGTCAAAAAGTCTCCAAAGATTCTAGGTGGATCATGATGTTTAATCTCCTGACTTTAATCAGTGATTGGATCAGAGGCTAATTTCAAAACAGTTGCTTGTTTCTGCAGTCAATCGGATCTTTAAAGTAGTTTCAGGTTTACGAGGTGTGTTTAATTATCAGGTTAGAACAGTTGTACTATTAGCTAAGGATGTCTGAAATGAAAAACTTCAGCTTCACAAATCTGTTTTACTTTTTAGTTTACAATGTGCCTCTCGTGAATGTTTTAAGGCCAAATCACTGTGTTTAAAACAGTTCTTTTTTTCATAAAATATACAATCATGTTTACATCTATGCATTCAGTAGATTTTAGAGGCATCTCAGGATCATTCTGGACCCAATCTGTGATTTCGCTGCACATACTGGACCACACCGGTTCAGCATTCCTGTGGAAAACCCAAAGATTGCTTATTTAATAAAAACATGTCTAGATTAAAAAACCTTTATATCTGAGTAGCAACATTGTTTATAAGCTGGCTGTACTTTGTGACTACTGAAGCAGTTTGATTTAAATAAACGCTACTTTTGTTTATCTCAGTTGTGTGTTTTAATATCACCTACACTCTAATACTATATATATACATACTTCAAGCGAAATCTCTGCATTCAAAACCTTTTTTTAAAAGTACATATCATCAAAATGTACTTTATGGAGGGTAAAAGTATTACATTACATTGCATTTAGCTGACGCTTTTATCCAAAGCGACAAACTTGAAGAAAACAGAATCATATAAGTACATCAGGTTTCATAGAGCTAAAACATTTCAAGTGCTACTCAACTGGCTTTAGATAAGCCAGTCCTTTATTAGTATATAAGTTCTTTGTTAGTAATTCTATCGCTCGAAGTGGAGTCGAAAGAGATGAGTTTTCAGTCTGCGCTGGAAGGTGTGTAAGCTTTCTGCTGTCCTGATTTCAATAAGGAGCTCATTCCACCATTTTGGAGCCAGGATAGCAAACCCACGTGTTTTTGCTGATGGGAATTTGGGTCCCCCTCGCAGTGCGGGTGCAGCGAGCCGTTTGGCTGATGCAGAGCGTAGTGCACGTGCTGGGAAGTACTAATAAAATATCTCCTGTGACTCCTGTTATGTTATTAATGTATGACATTAGATGGGGAATGTTTAAGCAATGCATAATTGATTGAAGTGGAGGTAGAAAACACTGATTTAATGTTGAGAAATATATGGTATTTTAAAAGATTTGTTTAAGAATACATTATAGTAAAACAGCTGAGGTAAAAGGTGCCATATTTTCCTGGAAAAACTGTTCCTAACAAATGTTACTTAAATTCAGCACTTCAATACTTACTTTACACCAAAAACCAAAAGTGTCCACTTGTTTTGATATTTTTGAGATAGCATTCAGGAAAATGTCAATTCGGACCAAAAACAGATGGACTAGATTATTTGAGAAGACGCACAAGGATGTATTTGTATTTTTTATTTGTATAATAAATAAACTTGTAATACTTCAGGACCACATTTCACAACCACACACAGAGCATGAATAAAACATACTTTGGATATTTGAAATCCGATGCAGAGGAAAACTAATTCCAGGTCATGAATTCAATGATTTGATCCATCTGTTTGGTGAGGGCAGTCTTTAGTTAGTCAGTGGGTTTCTTACATTACAAGTAGAATGTCTTACTCTTTACATTCTTCATCATGACTGTGTGGTGCTTTAATGGTCAACAATGCAACGGGTGCAAAAAAAGGCCAAAAATATCAGTTTTCTAATATCAGGAAGTGACTGTAATGTACTCCTTTGGTCAAACATCTTCCAACACAAAGTCAACAATAAATAAATAAATAAAACCAGTTATTGTGTTAAAGATAAGAAACGTGCAGCCGCTGGATACAAGAGGGTCCAAAACAGAAAAGAAGCGACATGATCATAAATTAAATGATATATAAAAAAAACATGAAAACAGTCTCGTCAAATGACATCAATTGAACATTTTTGACATTATCATGAAGCACTACTTTAATTATAATCTGTGTGTATTCTAATTTATTTGACTAAAGTCAATGGTCACATTTACACTGAGTTAAATTGACGGCTGATTCTGGTAAAAGTATTTAAAGTAAATTGAAGATATGTTAAACGTAGGGGTTTCAGAATGGGAGATTACAGCCTGCGAGCTAGTTCGACTCGAGCACCAATGATACATTACCACGTGACGCGCCTCGTCCCTCTGGCAACCAACCAAAACACATTCTCCTAAACATGCCGCTGTATTTAAACTGCCAGGTCTTCCTGCCTCTGCCTCGCTGTGTTCACTTGCTATTGCTACGTTCATGTTCCTGCTGCTGTGTTTCATGGTGCTGCTGCTCGCCTGCCCCCCCCAGCTCCACCTGTAGGCTCGGGGGATAGTTATCTAATCATCACTCAATGTTCTTTGTAAATCTGTGGAGTGATGAGGCCCGAGCCTAGACACCAAACTCAAACTGTGCTGCTTATAATAAACATATTAAGAAACACGTGAGTTGTCTGACTGAAATATATATAATGTAAACTTGCTGTCTGACAGAACGTGAAATTAGAAGGTAATTACGTTTCCTAACATTGGCAACGTTTTAATTTGGAATTTGGTCGAGAAAAAAAACGGTTATATGATCAACAGAAAAACCGATTCAAATCAATTTATGTGCTAATTTTAACTCATTTTAAGCCAAAAATGCACCAAAGAAATCTCTGTTTACAGCTCCTTGGATGTAAATATAATTTTCAATCTGTTAAACTTTTAGCAGTCATTTCGTACTTATTGCTCATGTCTGATAAGTATAACGTGCTTCATGATAATTTCAAGTCAGTGTCATGTTGAGTCATTTCTTTAACAGCTAGTTAATTGTTTGCCAGGTCAATATTCAGTGTCAACAAACACACACACACACCTTACTTATAGCAGTACTGTATTACATGTTGCAATACATGCGTTAACATTTATACATCTCCAGTTTTTATAAATGCCCCTCTTGATGAACATGAGCATTATGACAGCGAGGCGTAATCTTAAAATTGCAGAATTTGAGATGAAGATCCGTCTTTATTCCCAGGATCCGCCGAGTTATTGATTAACGATAAAAATAAGTGTATTGTACCGAAGAGGAATGTTTCAGTTATAGGTAGTCGTGTCCCACTCGAGCCTTCATGCTACATTCAAGTAATGACTCCAAATAACTGGGTAGAGATTGTGTTGACGTGTTTTAAGGGGAAGTTATACCTACATTATAATTGTTTACTTATATTATCTACATCTTAAAATAGTCTGCTAACAATTTAACAATCTAAAATTGGGCATCCACGTTATTTTAAAGAAAATAAACTGAATGTTATGGGTGAAACTGGATAATTTTTACATTTATTTTCTAAGAATATATTTAGAGGAAGACGACTTTTGTTTGGTTTTCACAAAATAATTCTCTATGCAAAGGTTCACTTACTTTGTGGTTTTAAAGTATTCAATCCCATCGAAAGGCCTTCCTCTGCAGATGGAGTTGTTGTCACATGACCTCAGTGTGTAATAAGATCACATTAATACAGGTGTTTTATATTTCAGAGGTTATTATTGGATGTGAAGGACCTCCTCTATCTTTCTCAGGGTCTGGAATGACTTTGACTTCTTCCTACAGTCAATGCTCTGACCCAGGGGTGTCAAACTCAATTTCATCGCGGGCCACATTAGAATTATGGTTGCACTCAAAGGGCCGGTGGTAATTAGCTTTAAGACCATATACATATACATAGATAAATATATATAAAATAATGTATTATTTTACAATATTGCCTCTGCATTGGATTATTATCGGATAGGGTAATAACTTCATAATTAACTACGTCTGAAAGCAGAAGTCCAGGGCAAATAATTGCAAGTCTCTTCAGTGTGCATCTCACAAAAGGAGATGCATTGTGGGACATGTAGTTTATGGGCAACATGCTCATGTAAAGCAGCACGTAACCTTATAATAAAACGTATTATATTCTTTGCAAGCTCTTGTGAGCCACATAAAATGAAGTGGCGGGCCGGATTTGTCCCCCGGGCCTTGAGTTTGACACCCCTGCTCTAACCCATTCAAAGTCCTGAGTTTCCAGAATCATCTCTGATCATAATGCAGCATCCAGACCTCTTATGTCTTCTTACTGAAAAACGTTTGTTTTTTACTACTTACTTCAAGGCTCAAAAGCTGGTTTTGTTTGCTCCTGCCTTGTAATAAATTAAATTTGGGACATTCTGCATCACGCTTCGTTTCTACTAATTTGAATCCTCTTTGTTTTACCTAAATTACTTATGCATTTATCTTCAATGTGGCTTTTTGAATTGACCTTTGAATTGTTTATTTTATATGCAATCTAACGTCTTATGTTAAGCGCTTTGAATTGTAAATAAACGTGCCTTGTGTCCATTGAGTCCGTGACAAGACAGTAGCTCCATCTGCTAAAAAAAGGCCACGAGATGTTTGCTTAGAAAAGATTCAGTAAGTGGACCTTGTGTTTTGAAATGGTTAAACATTCATCTACTTTTCACTATAAGTAGATTTAGGGTTTAAAAGATTAAAAGAAGACATTTTTGTTTGTACAGAATCAGAATTGGAGTCCTATGAATCCATTTGGCTTCTTAAGTAATGAAAATATGTTGCAAATCAAGTATATTTTCCACATTTAAAAAGATTAAAAAGAAAAAAGAGGGATTTCATATTGAGTCATGTCTGATTGTCTTAAACATCACGCACTGCTGTGGCCTTCAGTGAATATAGGGAGTATTTTTTGTTAAATTAGGGGCTCTTGAACCAAAACAAACAACTTCCTGGCAGGAGAACGGAGGAGATGCTACACGTGTTATTGACGATATGTGGGGGGGGGGGGAGGGGTCAGAAAGGTCACAGGTCACTGCGTCAGCGCCAGCAGGATGTCCTTCACCAGCATGGTGCCGATCACCATCTTCTCACAGTTGACCGTCAGCTGGGCGGCCCCATCCTCTCGGGACGACACAGTGGCTAACACCAGGCTGCCGCTGGTCACCGTGCGGCCCCCGAACCTGTGGACGGGAGGAAGAGGAGGAGGAAGAGGGGGACTGAGGTCAGAGCAGCGAAAGATCGGAAACAAAGACGAAGCAACAGAATAAAAAGAGAGGAGAGTCGATTAGCAGGGTTACAACAATTAGAATATAATAATACACTTTACTCAAAATGCTAGAAATACATTTGCATGAAAGCTTTTTGTGCTTCAGTGTCTTTTCCCCCATTATTCTAATTTCAAAAGGGAAAACTTTTTACTCCACTTTTTATATTTGACGAGTGTACTAACTGTCACATAGGAAGATCATACAAAACACATACAAAATGCACTACGTATTCTTCAGAGGTTTCTTATGTATTACAGAGTAAACTATTAATCTGTTACTAAGAAAATAACAAGCATTAATAATTATTAATGATACTTTAATTATAATTCCATTCTAATGGAAAAAGGCATGACTTTAATTTGTAAAAGAATATTTCTACACTATGTTAATAATATTTTAAGTATTATACCCTTTATATTCTATATTACTTATATCACTAATATTACTTATAATACTTTTTTACGGCCTAAGATTATACCTGAGTACTTCCTCAACACTGGTCTTAAACCACTAGAGGGAGATGAATAGTAGGTTCTCTTTTTTTTAAATGTAATTATTTAACACATTGTGGGTACAGACCCTTTCAAAACGAAATCTGCTCCAACCACAAACAGTGTACCAGTCTGTAAAACTGTTTAAGCTTCTCAACCATATATATTTGATAAATGAACAATAAATGGATTGAAAAACATCACACAAACAAAAATATGAAGCTTAAATGTGTGAATATAAACAGGATATTAGACATGAGATCGTATATTTTGATGAACTTTAAAAGGTAGGGTAGGTAAGAATGGAGAAACCAGCTCGAGTGCGCTAGCATTTGAAAGTATGCAGCCGAAAACAATCTGCCCCTTCCTTCAGACTTCCTCACAGAGCCCCTCCTCCAACACACACGAACGCGCACATGACCAATGAGGGCACGAGATAAGTTTGTGCACAGATGGAAGGCTGACAGGCAGGTAGGCCATCCAGTTACTTTAGCTCTTTATCTCACATCATACAGCACAGATATATTTGGAAGGTTTCCCAGTGTATATTTATTCTGATCTTCTCACCGGCACTCTTTATCGGACCCACAGGGCACTCTGCTGAGGTTGGCGGCGGTGATCACCCTCTGCACGATGGCGTGTTCGTTCCGGCACTTCACGTCCAGCGTTAGCTTCTCCGAGATCTCGTTCATCCCCATCAGCTGACCTGCAGAGGAGCGAGCACGAGTCAGACCGGGAAAAGAGATTTAAAGTCGTTGCTGCTACTTATTATATACCGGTAGCATCAAATGCAAAGCAGTCATTAGTCATAAAGCAATACTTCACAAAGGGCTGCTTGTATTAGTGTGGGGACTCAATACAGTGCTGTTTTATATATAAAGTAACATATATTCTATTCTTTCAGCTACAGACATATACAGTATTATATACAGATACTGTATTCAGGGGTAACACTACAGTGATTTGACTCAATACATCAATGATTACAAAACAATACTGTAACCTATGCACTGATGCTCGCACTGAACACAGTAGAGGGGGAAAAGTGTGAGTTTGTTAATTAAAAAAATTAAAAAGCAAATGAGTTCATGATGTTTGAATGTTGGTAAAAAGTTAGACATATTGCACCAATGCAGTTTCACCTTTGGGGAGTTAAACTATTTTCTGTACTGATTTGCAGGTCAAAAGACATCCAGTTAAAGACTTGAATAAACTGGTTGAAACGTCTTAATTGTTGTTTCGAAAGCATTTGAACGTCTATGTACAGACAGCATAAGTGACTCATCCGTTCAGTCATTTATCAACCACATATTATTTTAAACAAAGAATATTTCGTTTACTTTTCAACAAAATGTTGGCTTCTGACCTGCAAGATCACAAACAAAACTGTATAACACAAATATCCCAACATGGTCAGTGGTCATCAGCAGCTTGAAACATGAACCAGCCGGGTGTTCATTCTTTCACACCCCTTGTAGCACTTTGGGATTACTTTTAGCGATGAAAGGTGCTTTAGAAATACAATTTATTATTATTATAATAATTGTTCCCGCGGTGCTTTAAAAGTGAATCAGGATCAGTGAACAGATGAGCATTTCCATTCCCGGTGCAGCAGAGCGTGAGCGGCCTTTAATCAGATGCAGTTAGCACAGGTGAGTCTGATAACCAAGGCAGGAGGGAGGAGGGGGAGAAGTGGGGGAGGTGAGGGTCTGTGTGAGGTTAGCTGAGAGGCAGGTGGGAAAATCAAATCTATGAACTTACCAAGTAAAAGATTCTCTATGGGGACAGTATGAAGAGGGAGACACCGTGGACATGACACATGTTTAAAGAGTCACTACGGGTTTGTGAGCTGTAAAACGTTCATAACTCTGCACTATATTCACATAACTTACACTTTAACTCACTGCAACTACATTTAAAAAGTGCAAAATTGTCTAATGTACTGTAGTATCCTGTCTGTCTGTCTGTCTGTCTGTCTGTCTGTCTCTCTCTCTGTCTGTGTCTCTCTCTGTCTGTCTGTCTGTCTGTCTGTCTGTCTGTCTGTCTGTCTGTCTGTCTGTCTGTCCGTCCGTCTGTCCGTCTGTCCGTCTGTCTGTCCGTCTGTCCGTCTGTCCGTCTGTCCGTCTGTCCGTCTGTCCGTCTGTCTGCCTGTCTGTCTGTCTGTCTGTCCGTCTGCCTGTCTGTCTGTCTGTCTGTCCGTCTGTCCGTCTGTCCGTCTGTCCGTCTATCTGTCTGTCTGTCCGTCTGTCCGTCTGTCTGTCTGTCCGTCTGTCCGTCTGTCCGTCTGTCTGTCCGTCTGTCCGTCTGTCCGTCTGTCTGTCTGTCTGTCTGTCTGTCCGTCTGTCCGTCTGTCTGTCCGTCTGTCCGTCTGCCTGTCTGTCTGTCCGTCTGTCTGGGAAATGAACACAAAACTACAGAAACATGCTGCTAACTGTCGTCTGTTGCTGCTCTACTAAACAATTAGTACTGTATGGATCGGAAAAACAATGCTGGTGTATTTAAATAAAACATTTATGATCTGTCCCAAAACCCACACAAATGGACTTGTTTCATATTCTGTAGTTAGCGTATATGACCAATATATGAAATTGTGGGGGAAATGGACTACATACACTATATGTGCTAATGAATCTTTTAGCCTGAGAATATCAAAGAAGATAAACATGCAGAAAGAAAAATGAAATATGACACATCACTTGTACCCAGTTCAGATATTCAGTAGTAACTTCCCACTTTGAAATACTAGTTTGAATGTGATGGCCATAAAGTCAGAGGTTTTATATTCCTTAATATAGTACCTTTATGAAGTTGAATCACTCACCTTGCTCCTTTTTAAACTCGTTCTCCGTCAGGAAGACGGGTCTCATCAACTCCCCGACCGGAGGCTGGATCGACACGAAGAACTTCCTGCGGTGGGTGCTGACAAATAAGAGACAAAAACAAATGCATTTAAACATATATTTTCTAAAATGACAACTAATGCTTGCTTTACTTTATTTCTCAGTGTAGTACACACATACTGGTAGGAGGACATATTGAAATAATCCTGAGTCTAAAACAGTTTTACTTCCAGGCTCATGCAAAGCTAACCATTTTTACAATTACAAAACAGAGTCATATATTAACAGCATCAGTTTTGTGCCTGTTTTCACCCAGTACTACGAGACCATGAAGGACCCACAGAATCATGAGGGAAGTTAAGAAACAGAACCCGTCTCACCACAGCTGGAAGTTTGCAGCTTGTGTTGAGTCACAGAAATCGATGCCCATCACAGCTGAGGCCGTCTCACCTGCCGGCAGCAGCTCTGTACACAACACAAACAAAAACACACAAACAAATAAAACAACATCATCTTTTAGTTAGTAATTGCTGAATAACAGACAGAGGAAATATTTGCTGTCAGCATGGATACGACAACATGCTTGACAATTTTTACTGAAGGGTTTTCTTCTGCATTTTTTTTATTTTAAAAGTAGGACTTTGGTTGAATTTCCACAATTTCTGTGATTCCCTGGTTTGTTTTCTAGAACGATTATCCAATTTGATTTGCAGACAAAAATGAAAACTATAAACATGTGTTTTTGGTGATCGCTAGATATTACCGTAGCACCACCTTTAACCTGCACATATATCCCTACTGTAAGGCTCCATCCTCACATATTGTTTATTCCACCTAACATTTACTGGCTGCTTCTGAAACTGCTCCTATGTTGTTGTTTTTGTAGTAAGAGCAAAGGTCATCCTGGTTTCCTTTTTCGATTACATGAAAATAAGAAATTCAGTTCCCACCAAACCATGACTCACCGATCTCAGTGAACTCGTTGACCCTCATCCCGCTCTGCAGCTTCACGTCCTCCATGTGCAGGTTCTTGGTGTCCGACGTGGCGTTGTTGGTGAACTGCATCTGCACCGACACCATGTTGGCGTCGGGGGGGAACGGCTGGCGGCTGAAGCAGTACTCCACGCACAGACCCTCCCCCGTGATGCGGTGCAGCAGCTCGTAGCTCTTCAGAGCGCTGCAGGGAGAGATGGCCTGAACAAGGGAGGAGACGGAGGAAGGGTTGATGTGTGTTAGCATTTCAGATACATTTTTCACTATTACTGAAGGAAATATCCACTTTAGATATTCACAGAGACGCACTGATTGGTACATTGATTTGTCAAGAAATATATACATTTGTTATTGACTTTTTTTTAACCTTTATTTAACCAGGTGTATTTCCCATTAGGATTCAGATTTATTTTTACAATGAAGTCCTGACTAAGGCAGCAAAAAACAGTTTCAAATAAAAGCGAAAACCACAGACTTCGGTAAAAACAGTTTAAACAAACAAAACAGTTTGTTGTTATTGTGGAGAGACAACAGAGGCCTGTACTACGAAGCTGGTTCAACCTAACCTGGATATGTTAGAGTTAGCCGGTTGGCCTAATCCAAAACATACGCGCTCTCGCTAAACGGTACTACGACGCGGGTTATCAAGTGGATCGCTCAAGCCAGCCGTGTCCTATCTAGTTAGGTGCGCGTTCACATGAAAGGGGTGGTATTTGGAGCATTGGACCAATCACAAACATGGAGAAGCATATTGACAGCACAGCGTCATACTTCCTGAATGAAAAGTCAACTATAATATTAGACATATGAAGAAGTTAAACTTTAAACATCCATGACTTAAACACTTTATCCAGGATCAAAGCCACATAGCTGCACCTGCAAGGTGAATACAGCTGGTAACAGAACAAGTGTTTGAATGCGTACATTAACAGGGTTATGATATCACTGCCCCGTCTAAAACACGATCTGATTTTAATTACATTTGACTCGAGTGTTTCGTCAACTTAATGTGTTGCTTAAAATAATACTTCTGCATACAGTATGTGAATGTGACACTGTGAGTGTTGCACGGCCAGATACGGCTCAGCTGACTCAGATAAGGAAATATATGATACATTATGAAGTGATATGCTGCGGACTGTACTTAATGTCACTCTGATCCGGTTACTTATGTTGTGGCAGATATTTAAGTAAGCTTTCTTAACGCTAATGTTATAATAGTCAGATTGCTCTGAAGATGGAGGTGATATTCTATTAATGTTCACGTTCACACAGTCGGTGATTTTTGCCGGCCGTCTTTCCTGCGACGGCAGCTTTTCTGTATTTCCTTTCTCCTGTAATATGACTTGATCGCTTTAAACTCCGCACACTGAGCTCTGATTGGTCAGCAGGCAGTGCTTTCACTGAGTTGAGCTCTTAGCCTGCAACCTAACCTGGTCCCGACCAGGTTAGCCGCACAGCATAAGTTACCATGGAGATCTAGCCTGCTAAAAAGAGAACCAGCTTCGTAGGACCGGAAACCCCGAGTTTTCCCTGAAGTTAGCCGGCTAAGCGAAAATCCTGCTTCGTAGTATACCCCCCGGGTTGACTGATGCTCTCAGACCTTCATAAATATAAATTGATTATAAACCATGGCTACTATATTATGAATACATTTTCTTGAAGACCGCAAATAATTAAAAAGCAGTATGAAATCACCATAGTACGAGCGTTTTCTGTCAAATGTTTTTTTGAAAGCCACGAGTCATATGAAGATATTATTTATGTGTATTTTTGTGTGTGCCACTGACAGAGGAAATTATTTCAATGTTATATGCGCTAAAGTATAAAACCTAATTGTTAAATACTCTAAACATATTCCCATAATATCACCACTAGAGGGACAGGGACATGGAAGTAAGAGATAAGGAATACAATTTAAGGCCATTTTTGTGTAAAATTATATCAAATTAGACGTTATTGTCCTTGCAATAGGGACGTACAAGTATTTAGACAACAAAATATTATTGAGCATTTACAAGTAAGTTGCTTTGGATAAAAGCTTCAGCCAAATGCAATGTAATGTAAATATAGTACCTAGGAGGACGAGAGAAGCATGAAGGACTTACCGCCGGAGAGAGGACGGCATCGGACAGAGACAGTCCCTCCAGGTCGTTCACCAGGCTGCTGGACAGGAAGCTGTTCAGGGGCGTGACTTGAGGAGAGGGGGTGGGTTCAACTGCGAAAAAAGAGACAGGAGAGTATGACTTATAAACAAGGATGTACAAAAGTTTACACCTCACGGAATTCACCTATTTTTTATTTCATACATATAGCACACACATCTGTCTTTTACCTCAGAAAACCCGACAGGATCATTGCCAAGAACTACGTTGCAATTATTGTGATTATGATGAAAAAGCCTTTGAATGATTTTAATCGTATTTCTTGCATTACTTGATCCTGTAAGTTTGAGAAACACTTCCATACTTTACAACAAACTTGTCCACTGACTGTGCCTCCCTGAATTGAGCACTCATACATTGAATTACATTCCCTTTGAGAGTAGACATTTTACAGGAGGTGAAAGTACTCACAGTCATCGAGGTCGAGCAGAGACATTTCCTTCTTCTCCTTCTTGCACTCTTTCTTGACCGGCTTAGGGGGAGGTTTGGTTTCAGCTGCCTGGAAGAGGAGAAAAGAAAATATAGATTTTCAAGTGACTGTGCTAAGTCTAAATACAGGAGTATTTCTTCTATACTTCAACGAGTGTTTTAAAGATGATGTCAAATGTATTTATCATTTTAGGTTGTTTTTTCTTTACCTTTTTCTTCTTTTTGACTTCCGCCTCAGACTCCGAGTCTTCAGACTCTGATTGGCTGCTTTCAGACTCGCTCTCCTCCTCATCATCAGATTCAGACTCCGAGACGCTCTTACGCAGTTTATTCTTCCTCTCGTGCTTCCTCACTTCCTCTTCACTGCTCTGCTCGCTGGAAAGGAAAGCAAAGGTCAGTCAGAGTCCTGGAGTTATTATGTAAGGGGATGAGACAAATCATTAAGATAAAAAGATCTAAAACAAGTCATATCTTAACTTTTTTCAGTTTAGGACAAAACACTAGGAAAACAGAAGCATGTTCTACCTTTCGCTCACTTGCACAGGCTTCTTCAATTCTATCTTTTTCTTCTTCTTCTTGTCCTTTTCCTCCTCCTCCTCAGACTCGGAGCCTTCCTCGCTCTCCTCGCTCTCTGACCCCGAGCCGCTCTCCTCCAAGCCGCTGCCGCTCTCCGAGCCGCTGGCTGAGTCCGACTCTGCAGGGAGAACAATGTTCTTTAAATTTGAATATTTTAAACATAAGAGGATTAGAGTAATAGTACGACTAGAGCTCCCAGGATTAGCCAACTAATTGTTTAGTTAAAGGTAGGGTAGGTAAGAATTGAGAAACCAGCTCGAGTGTGCTAGAATTTGAAAGTACACAACCGAAGAATATCTGCCCCTTCCTTCAGACTTTCTCACAGAGCCCCTCCTCCAACACACACGAACGCGCACATGACCAATGAGGGCACGAGATAAGTTTGTGCCCAGATGGAAGGCTGACAGGCAGGTAGGCCATCCAGTTACTTTAGCCGGGCCGGCTCAGATGATTGGTCGTGCTTTTTACAGCGCCACGGCTTCCACAGATGACATTTTTGTATATATTTATTGTCAAAGCATTTAATGTATTCATTGCTATCGGGATGTTAAGAGCATTCTATGGAATATGACAACAAGTGTTTCTGAAGTGAATTACCTACCCCACCTTTAAGGAACGGAGACATATTTCTAAACTAATTTGATAATAGATTTGAGAATTTGGTCCTGTGAAATTGGCAGAAATGTCTGAATTCAGCATCTCAAATATGAAGATTTCCGCTTTAAAAAAAAATCTATAATATTGAACTGAATATCTTTAGGACAGAACAAGATATTAAAATATATCATCATGGAGATTTTTCACAGTTACTTTACATTGTATAGATTTTAAAGAGGCCCTATTATGCTTTTTGGGGTTTTCTCTTTCCTGTAGTGAGTTATATATGTTTATGTCTTTGTCACACACTCTGCCTACATTGGACTTTGTTTACTTCCGTAACAAATGACATCACTATGATACACTTTTGCTTCTATTGGCTAGCACTCCAACACACTGTACATGATAGGCTAAGGGGCGGGACATCTCTAACCAGTTGACCAATCACAACAGAGCCGACCAGCTAACCAATCAGAGCAGACTGGGCTCTGGTTTGAGACAGAGGGTGAAAAGAGATGCTGCAGCACAGGCAGTATGAGAAAAATAAAGAGCTTTTTGAACATTAAAGCATGGAGACATGTCACAGTAGAGACACTAAATACAAATGTGAACCTGGAAATAAGCATAATATGCCCTCTTTAAAAGTAAGGGCAGAATGATCAATAATAAGAATGCATTTTTAGTCGCTTCCTTGGCACCAATTCAGCCCCTTAAAGTTACCGCTGTCCGCTGACTCCGTGGGCCCGGACTCTCCATCTGAGTCGGAGTAGAACGGCTTGTCCACTTTCTTCTCCTTCCTCTTCTCCCGGCTGCTGCATTTGGTCCATTCAGGCACCTGTCAGAGAGGCAGAGTGCAGACAGTCAGCGCCTCCAGCTCGCCTCGTGATAAACCCCTCAGACAGAAGCAGAGACGAGGCAGATATCAGCAACGTGGCCATGAAGGCCTCGATAAAGCAGCCCTCAGATCTGCCTTTAGATCTGAGACCAAAAACAGTGCAGACAGTTTAATGCTGTGCACAGATGGACGTTAACACCGGGCGATACCTTCATGACCACTTGCAGAAATGGGTTTCTTTTAATACAGGGAGCAGTTCCATTAAGAGAAGTGATGTCTTTGAGGAGAAATGACCTTCCTCCCACACTTTAAACAAGAAGAAAATCCTGCTCTTTCTGCGACCAAACTCATTAACTGAAGCCATCAGCTAATGAGAGTGGACATCTCCCAAACACCATTTAAAACCCACACGGCTGCTAATGCATCTCGACGTGTCACTTCCAGCTAAAAGAATCACTTCTTTAATGGCAGAGACCGAGGAAGAGGGGGCTGTGTTTGAGATAGCTTTGGCTGAGCTAAGCACAGAACAGCGTCTACATTAGGCGGGGGGGAAGGGTGTCAAAAAGCACTCGGGTTTTGCCGCTAAATGGAAGGAGGCGGGCTCTTTTACCGCTCACTGACTCACACTCGTTAATGTTGTGACTCTTTCAAGCAGCGTAAACACCTGGTAGATGTAAACAGAAAAAGATTGGAATGAGGTGAGAAAAGGAAGGAAAGAGGTTTGTTTTTTAGAGAAAAATAGTCAGGAAAAACAGAAAAGGTCTAAAAAAAAGAAGACGTGTGAGAACAGTTTGTCTGATATCAGAGACAAATGTAACCCTTAATCTCATTACAGTATTTACCACCAAGTGAATTATTTTTTCTGGTCAAATCAACGCACTCCAATATAACTGTGTTACTTATAAAGAAAAAGTCAACATTAACATTCACTACCTACTTCTAAATCAAGCAAAAACACGACAATGCATTATTCAATGTGTTAATCAGTGACAAAGCAGGATGTTGTAGTGGCATGGATTTAAATGAACTAAATGAGGAGATGGAAGAGGAGGGGGAAAGCAGGAATCTGAATCACAACACTCAGTTTCACACAAACAACATTTGTGACACATCCACAAAACGTGTCACAAATGTCACGGAAGACAATTTAGTTAAAACAAATTAAAGTCAGTGGTCCGCTAGCTAGTGTAAAATCTCTGGGGGGGGTGAAGTGTCTTGCCCAGGGACACAACGACATGCTGACTGCAGCAGGGTTTGAACCAGTGGTCCCCTGATCTGAACACCAACGCACTAGACCACTGCGCCACATGTCTCCCTTTTATCCAATTGCTTTTCTATTTTTTTAAAAACATTAACAGATGAAGCTTGCTAAGTTGCCATTGGACTTCAGGAGGTTAAAACCTTCTAATCATTTGAACATGTATGAACAATATCCCTCCGATGATTTGGATCTACTCCAAAATGTTGTATCATCTTTGTCCAAAGCTAAACCCTTCTACCAAGTTTCATGATAATCAGGTCAGTAGTTTGTCTGTAACCCTGGTGACACTCTGGGTGTTTCTCAATGTTGAGTACGCTTGCTTGGTAGCACATGTCTTCTGAGTCACTTGCTTCAGAAGCGAGGCAAGAATCCTTCCTGGCATTCGGAAAACGAAGAGTGGAACAGGCTAGCAAGTGTGCAGGTGTGCGTCATATGAGAGGCCCCGCCTTACATTTTCCACCACAGATTTGGGGAAATTGGTCCGTGCGCAAAGCATTGTGGGGATTTTAAGGACGCGAAGTGTACCCATGTGCAGCCTCGAAATGTCTCCTAACGAAGTACGCCAGGCTCGGTAGAATTCCAAGTATGCCGAACAGTCCTTCGGCGGCACTCGATGAGGTAGTATACTTGAAATAGTGGCTCTGGAGCAGCCTTACTCGACATTGAGAAACACCCACAGACAAATAAACACACAATAAACATAGGCTGCTTTGCACAAGTTGTTATAACTAAGTAGGAAGACCTTGGGAGGACATGGTTTTGCCAACTGCAATTTTCAAGTCTTGAAAGCACTTAAATAATGAATATAAGGGGAAAGATTGAACAAATAGACAACTTAGCAAAGGTCATCCTTGATGAAGACAATGGAAAGTGGTCAAAAGCTCCAGAACATCAAAGTAATGTAACCTTTCAAAGATCCAACTGTCTAACCCTTCTTTGATTTGCTTCTACTATCAACTCTGAATCCTTAAAGCGAATCAATTATGATTTAGTTTCTTCCAGTTAACCTCTTTACCCCTGGGATAATGACGACTGTCTCTCTAAATATCATTCAGCAGTGACTCAGCAGCACTGAAGGGAAAACTCTCACTAATCCTTTCAGTTCGACCATCATCAGTTTCTACATTCTAGTGAAATAAGTGATGATGAGAGTCTATAAGAGGAAAGAGAGAGCAGTCATCAAAACAAACACCACCGCACTCCCAAACTGAGGGGGGGGGGGGGGGGCACCTCTCTCCGTTCTCCTAGCAAGCCGATCCTCCCCTCGCCGGTGGTGAAGACCTCCTCTGTCTGCGGAGACGTTTGATAGGCAGAGGGACAGCAGGGGGGCAATGGGAGACTTTGTATATTAAACATCACTGCTGACCATTTCTTCAAAGCATTATTTTTACGGTTTTGGACTGAATCAGTTTTTTAGTAGTGGTCTATAATTTTTCTTTAAATTGTAAAACACTTACAACTGAGATTCCAAAGTGTTTAATTATTCCTTTTTCAACACCACAAATGTTGAATCAAGTAGTAATGTATTTCTTACACTGCACTGTAACTTGTATTCTTGTATTTTATACTTCTTAGTTTGAATGTTCCTAAATGACTTGTGCTGTGGTCCATGTTGATGTGTGAGTTGTACATCTTCTGTTGATGTCAGGAACTAATGTAATGATCCCTGCCAGATCACAATAAAAGGTCAAATTGGGGTATGGCCTTCCCAACTTAGTTGCAGTAATGCGGAAGGTTTCTTTGTGAAAATCTCCCACAGTTTTTGATTGAATTACTACCTTTGGGCCATCGATTGTTTATCATTCATTTAAAAACACTTACAACTGGCAAAGATTTGAGATCTGCTTGAAATCCAAATATGGCATTTTTGTATGTCACTTGTATTCTCTCTCCATCATTAATATTTGTATTATTTACTATTATTTGTTATTTATTTTTGTCTTGTTTTCTGCGGCAGAACATCTTTATTAAGGCTGCTCAATTAATCGTATTTTAATCACAATTACGATTTTGGCTTGCAACGATTATGAAAACAACGTAATCGAAATAAAACTTTTTTTTTTTTTTTTTTTCAGTTGAATTATACGTAAAGTTCAAGGTAATCAACTGTTAAAAACATACTGTTCAATAAATGGATGTTTTCAAAGTAAATGGATAATCGTTTTTAATAATCATGATATCAATTATTGACCCAAATAATGGAGATTAAGATTTTTGCCATAATCGAGCAGCCCTAATCTTTATTACTTTTTCTTTGGTTTTTTTAGCCCTGGAGTGGTACTCTGTTACTGGTTGTCTAATACTTGAAACCTATTCAGGATTGTATTGATACAGCTGGAAAAACTGAACATGTGAATGTGACTGAAAGATATATTGTACTGTATTATTGTCTGAAACTAAAAAGACGTGGCATTTTGAATGCATTTGACTCCTCTGGATGTTATTTAACGCTACAGCTGGAGCAAACTGATTGTCCTCTAAAACTTGGGAACCATAGCTGTGATGGTAGTTTATCTGCCATGTTTTTCTGGTTTTAAAACTCAATAAAGGGGCTGTATAGAGCCTTGCTAACTTAGTTGAAGTTACAGTTACATGTTGTCAGAAAATCAGCTTTAAGTTCCCAAAACTGATCCAGCTCTCAACGGCAGTGATGGAGCACTGTGTCTGCCTGGAATCAATTAATGATTCAAATGCTTTGGAAAATGGTCAACAGTAAAGCAACTTATTTACGTATTCAGCTAAAAGCCTCCTTTTCAGTGCTTTAAACACTGAGGTATGAAACATAAAGTGTTAGAATAAAAATCAACACTATAATCACAATACTTCACAAATACAGTATGATGACACAATCAAGACTTGAGGTCACTCCTGGAGCTCAAAATCAAGTGGGTTTTATGAGTGTTGATTTTGACAAAAGAGTGACACGCTCAAGTTTTGATTTGACGTCTTCATTTAAATCACATAGTTGGTTATGAGCCGATGGCACATGGAGTGAATGGGATGGAGAAGAAGAGGAGGGACTTTGGTGAGATTGGATGACTTTTTACATTCAGAATTAAATTTAAAAGGTTCAACTTCAAACTGTGGGGAGTAATTATTAAAAACATGGATGCAAAATAACATATAAGTAGCCCCTTTGTTAAAGTATGACTGTAGGTGCCGGCCCTCCGTAAGTGAACCTCTAGCCCAAAATTAAAGTGGTTTGCTTTCATTTTGAAACCGATCTGTTGTTTGATTTTTCCTCCTAAATCTGTTCCCTTCTCATGTGCTATTGGCTCAAACATTGGTGAGAAATCACCCGGACGGGGCGACGGAGCTGCTGCTGAAACAGAAGCCAGTGCCGCAGAGAGGGCGCCCGTGTTTTCAGAGTGAATCAGAAGTTTTTAAATAGAAAGTGTAATCCTCTTTTCTCCTCTGTGACTCATTCTCCTCCATGGAGGGTGGTGAGAGGCAGCGTTTGGAGATAAATGACCAAAATGATGCACGTTACTGATGAGCTGTTAATGCTAATGAGCTGTAAGTGGATGAATGGTGATGAATGTTATATTGGAGTAAATGTAGTATTGGATCTGAGGCTCTGCGCGGCCCCCTCTGAGGCACTGCTCTGGGGCAGGAGCAGCCCTCGCTCCCCTCCACTTTGTGGCCCCCTGGAGAGCCCAGAGGACCCCTGTGTCTCTGTAAGTTACTGTTCCCACTGCACGCACAGAATCCTTCACCTCCACGTTGCGCACGCAGGGGTCTGGGGCGGCTTCGGGCCAGTCGGGCAGCTCCTGGTAGCCGCCGGCCTTAGCATTCAGCAGGTGGGACAAAGACCCCAACTGGAAGTGGTCTCGATCTGAAAAAACACAAAACAAAAATCTTAAATGTTAATCTGCACATTTGTAAGGCACTTTGCTAATTTTATTAATATTCTATTGGAAGGATTATTAAATAATTGAAAGAAAAAAAATCCCATAATTTGGGGGGATTAGGTGACTTAACCCTCCTATTGTCTTCGTTCCCCCCCCTTACTTTGGTGTTCGCGGTCAAATTTGACCGGTCCTGTTTTAACTGCTATTACATTAACACAAAAACCATTAATCATCACCAAATTTCATTTAACACCTTTTCAAACTGTACATATTATATCAGACTACTGGTATACATGAACAACTGCAGTAAATATACAAAGAACAGACACTGAACATGTATTGCGTGTGCCAGGTGTGATCCATGTGGGGGGATGGGCACATAAGAGCGGGAAATGTGTCAAATTGTTCTGTGTGTGTTTGTGTGTGTGTGTGTGTGTGTGTGTGTGTGTGTGTGTGTGTGTGTGTGTGTGTGTGTGTGTGTGTGTGTGTGTGTGTGTGTGTGTGTGTGTGTGTGTGTTTTATCTGATCCGGATGGTTACTAATTCCTTTTCTTTATGGCGGTCATTTTTGGCCGGGAACACCATGGTGTTACAAAGTTGACTAAATCATCCAAAATTCAATGAAAGTGGTGATCAGCTATTGTACATGTTCAAATGTCTACTGTGAAGGATATCATAACGCCTTAATGCAATCGAATGTAAAACAAAAAAGTTATGATTGATGAAAGTAGTAAATCGGTCAGATTTGACCCGAAGACAACAGGAGGGTTAACAGAACGTACAATGTCGCAGGGGAGTCAGTATTTTAGCTGGTGGCTGCATTTTGCTAAATATGTATCATTAAATGATATCGAATCAGCTACACTGGATCGTGTTGATACTGAAGAAAACATTAAAACGTGACGATTCTCTGGCAAGTTCTGAATTGTCTTTTTTCAATGATTTCCAAGCAGATACGGAACATGGAAGTTCATTTGAGATGGACATCCTCAGAAAGGGTTGATCACACATCTTAGAAAATGTCATCATGTCTTTTACTAACTCCTGAAGTGTTTAAGGCCATGGTGACCATTTCAAAAGGTGTTCTTAGTGTTAGGAAAACTGAAAATAAAAGATCATAAACAAGGTAAAAATATATTCAGTATACCTTTGAATGGAGACTCGAGGACCGGAGCAGGTTTGATGGCGAGGAAGAGTTTCTTAGCGTACTTGCTGAGCGCTCCGCTCTTCTCGGTCGGCACGATGAGCTGACGAATGAAGCGCGCCCGATCACGGATATCGTAGTTCTGGTCGTACTTGGCCAAGTTGAGGACGTACTGCGTCAACAGTTTGGTCTGAGGAAAGATAATGAAGGACATTACAAACAATTATATTCACCATTTCTAAGTGTGTGCGTGTGTCTGGTTGTGTTTGAGTGCTGTATTGAAGTACAATTTGTATCGTACTTTTTGTTCATTCATATCAGCAAACCTTTGGAAAGCAATACAGTTAAATGTTCAAACTGAAGGCAGACTGAATAAGTAGTACGATTATCAAAAGGCATAACACTTTCTTGGAGAAAAAAACAGCATCATGCCAAATATCTTTCACGTTTTACGTAAAAAGAAGTGACCAAAAAAATAAAAATAAAGATTTAGGGTTAAGACCAAATGCTTCAAATGTGGATGTATCTTTTTAAATTCACCACAGAGAAAACTCAAATAGCAATGGTAATCAGAAAATACATGCTGTCATTACAAACTCTTACCCGATATAACTTATATTTGGGCTTACTTTGAGTAATTTCATGTGCAAAAGTTAAAAAGTATTGTTGATGTTGTTTTAAGTTGAACTAACTTGAATTATAACTTAACTATAATTTGCATTTATCTGCTTAATTAAACTTCTACCCAACTGCAATATAATGAAAAAATAAATTATATTTAGTTTTTTATATTATAGGTTAAGACTCTATTGATTCTCAGGGTAGGTAGGTAGGTAGGTAGGTAGGTAGGTAGGTAGGTAGGTAGGTAGGTAGGTAGGTAGGTAGGTAGGTAGGTAGGTAGGTAGGTAGGTAGGTAGGTAGGTAGGTAGGTAGGTAGGTAGGTAGGTAGGTAGGTAGGTAGGTAGGGTAGGTAGGTAGGTAGGTAGGTAGGTAGGTAGGTAGGTAGGTAGGTAGGTAGGTAGGTAGGTAGGTAGGTAGGTAGGTAAAGGGATAGAGAGGTAGGTAGGTAGGTAGGTAGGTAGGTAAAGGGATAGAGAGGTAGGTAGGTAGGTAGGTAGGTAGGTAGGTAGGTAGGTAGGTAAAGGGATAGAGAGGTAGGTAGGTAGGTAGGTAGGTAGGTAGGTAGGTAGGTAGGTAGGTAGGTAGGTAGGTAGGTAGGTAGGTAGGTAGGTAGGTAGGTAGGTAGGTAAAGGGATAGAGAGGTAGGTAGGTAGGTAGGTAGGTAGGTAGGTAGGTAGGTAGGTAGGTAGGTAGGTAGGTAGGTAGGTAGGTAGGTAGGTAGGTAGGTAGGTAGGTAGGTAGGTAGATAGGTAGGTAGGTAGGTAGGTAGGTAGGTAGGTAGGTAGGTACTATATGTATCCCAATTTGGGAAAAGTTTGCTTTACAGCAGCATAACAAACAAGGCAATGTACATGAGAGAAATTAAGACACCAGAAATAAAAAATCTAAATATTTCTGAAGTAGAAATAAAATAGCATTAAAAGGTTAAAAAATATACGTGTGGAAATACAAATGTCCAGAAACACACCTGTTTGGAGTTTGTGAGATAAAGCTTGGCGGCCAAATTGATGATTTGCAGCTTGACAATGTCTTCTTCGTTGGTGAACGACTTGGCCATCTTCCTCAGGACATCCGGAGCGATCTTGGGAACGTGCTCGCAGTATTCTCCGATCAGCCACAGGATGCTGGCCCGCGCCATCGGCACCTGAGAACAACCACAGATAAAATACATGGTTGTGATTGGTGTAGGAGCCAAAATGCTTGTTTTGCCATTACTTATTATTTCTATTATGGTATTATCTTCATTTCTGTTTGCATCACGTTTGATTCTTATTGTTTATCACTTCCGGCAATTGTCACGTGGGTGTTTTTTGTTGGTATTTACTGTAGGTCACCTGTTGGATGCCGGTTTTGGGATATGACGTAGAGGAGAGGGAGAATGGCTCTGATACTTTCTGTTGACCATGAGGTCTGGAGTTGTATATTGTTTGTTCTTTTGTCTTTATTAAACACCATGGACTATAAATGACTACGGACTCTTATATGGAACGAAGCAAAGAGGAACTTTTAGCCTCTGAGCGGCATAACTCATGGGGAGTTTTTGCCGCTACAATTGGCTTTTGTCAGTGTAAAGTTTAAACCATCGGCACCTGAGAAGAATTGAAGTTAAATTACACCCCATTTACACGGGAGCACAAACGCAAACGGACCGAATTCGTTATCAAAAAAGTCTTCCGTTCACACGCATTCGGCTCATTTAACGTGTCCGTTCACACGAGACCACTGCAGACGCTGTAGTACATATTCCGAGCCTGTAAGTGGCGCTGTAGTTCCGCACGAGACCGCTCGAAAGCGCTGGAGTCGCTGTAGTACATATGCCGGGCCTGTAAGTGACGCGGTACTTCTGCCACAAAATACACCAAAAGCAGCGAAGAAGACCCCCAAGCATGGTTTCCATGGTTGCCCTTCTGTTTATGCCCCGCGGTGGATGTAGCAACATGTAGTTCATGTAATTCTCCATGTCCACTTATTGCTGATGGTTGTGGTAGAGGAGCTGTAGATTTTGCACTAACATCTGTAGCATATGGGCTCAGAACAGTCTCATAATACACACATGCACACAGAAGGATTCACACTTGTATTTCATGATCCGCAAAAGGATTCACACTTGTATTTCCGGATCCACACTTGTGTTTTTCAATGCACACACAAATGTATTCCGTTTCATATACATGTAAATAAAATCCAAATACAGAAAAAAGTTTTACATGTGTATTTTTGATCCTCACATATTTGTTTTCAGTTTAAAACCTCTGCACCTGCAAACACAAACAGCTTTCTGTGCACGGATCGCTGTGCATTCGTGTGTGGGTTTTTTGAGACTCCCCTGACGGTCAGCCGATTCGTACTTGTAATTGTTTCTATCTATAGCCAATCAGATGTCTCCTCAATTCTAAGCCAATCACATGAGCGCGCCCCCACGAGGGTAGATTTATTGCGTTCATGACGTAGCGCTTCATGTACGCATTTTGCGCAGTCCGGAGCTGACAGCTCCATGGAGCTTGCCTGCAGGCGCTACCCTCCACTCTCAGTACAGCGCCACTTTCCGAACAGGAAATGCACGCAAATACAAGCCTTTATATTATTAAGGAAGGTACAGCGCCACTTTCCAAACCATTGATGAATGCTTGTGTACACCGTTTTAAATGTATGTATGTATGGCGAATACAGCTGCTTTATTTATGTCTGTATGAAGTTGTTGTGAGTGTGGAGCAGCTACAGGTTAGCTTAGCCTACTCGATCAGTTAACACGGGGGAGCCCCGCCGGTCATTATCGGCCGATATTCACTCTTAATAGTTTGATCGGTGCTCTCTATAAAGGCCGATCAGGAGAGCTGGATCTGATCAATATGGACATAAACGCGAGTGAAGTATAACCGGACGCGAGAGAGAGATCAGATCAGCTGCTGAGTCTGATGGAGACACGCTGCTCTGCATGATCACCTGATGCTCCGCCCTCTGTTTAGCGAGCTGACCAGACTGCGCAAAATGCGTATATGAAGTAATCTTACCCTCGTGGGGGCGCGCTCATGTGATTGGCTTAGAATGAAGGAGACATCTGATTGGCTATAGATAGAAAAAATTACAAGTACGAATCGGCTGACCGTCAGGGGAGTCTCAAAAAACCCACACACGAATGCAAAGCGATCCGTGCACAGAAAGCTGTTTGTGTTTGCAGGTTCAGGAGATTTAAACGGGAAACTAATAAGTGAGAATCAAAAATACACATGTAAAACTTTTTTCTGTATTTGGATTTTATTTACATGTATATGAAACGGAACACATTTGTGTGTGCATTGAAAAACACAAGTGTGTATCCGGAAATACAAGTTTGAATCCTTCTGTGTGCATGTGTGTATTATGAGACTGTTCTGAGCCCATAGTAGCATGGACAGCAGCTACTGACAGTAGCTACTGACCATGCTACAGCAGTGAGCAGCAGAGGTGGGGAGAGGCGTTATCAGGAAATGATCGTATAGGACGTACACACGGAGCCGTTTGGCACCCCAGAGCGTTCCGGTTGCAGATCTATCCACCTTCGGACCCGTTATCGTTTGCGGGATCCGTTTCCGCTGTTCCGTTACGGCCTCGTGTGAACGAACGGGCTAAACGCGAGAGAAAAGTAGCAGATATAACCCGTTTCGTTCTCCTGTAAACACCACCTTAGATGGTTGTGTTTCTCTTTTGTCAGGAAAAACGGATACAAGTTTATTTGGCAGACCTGTTTTCACACAGCAACTCTAAAACAATTAGTGTTCCTTTCGCTGGGATTTTTTATAGCCAGTTAATGACAGCAGTTTCTCACCTGGATGTTGTCAGTGAGTTTGGCCATGTGCTTTATGATGTCGCTGTGTTTCTCCGGTTGCATCTGCAGCAGCTTCTTAATCACCACCACCGACTCTGCTACCACCAACTCTGCACGACAGGAGGAACAGCCATAAATCATCAAATAAACAGTCATTATGTTTTCCTCATTTCATCCTCGATCAGGGATACTCAACTTCCCTTCCCTTTTTTTTATTTTTTTTAAATAACAGTAGGTAAAGGGTCGGTAAATAAAAAACCGTTCACCTGTCAGAGGCTCCATGGCCACCTGTGTCATTTTTCTTTTTTAAAAACAAACTTTATTATTGTATTTTGATGGTTTGTCATGCCCCCTCGCACCTTGTTTAAATTAAAAGTACAAAATAAAGCCAAATGGAATATTTTTTTAATGATTAATTTGAACTTTTGACTTTATAAAAACAGGCCAGATTTGTAGTTAATAGGTTTTTTGTTTCCCTTGTGGACCCTTTCTGGAAATTCTTGTCTCCTTAAAGGTCCCATGTCATGCTTTTCTGGTTATTACCCGTCCCCATGTAAACGGTCTGCGGAGTCACAAACCCTCAAAGTACACCCTGTAGCGAGTAAAACTCTAACACAGAAAAGACCTGTCTATGCTGCCCCAGAACGCCTCGTTGGAGATTTCTCTTTTTTCATAGTTTACTTCTTGAGTATAGTGACGTATTTCGGGTATAGTGACGTAACGTATACCCGAACGCTCGGAGCCGTTACGTTTGGACCAATCCGTGGACTTCCTCACACACACACTCGGCAGGACGTTGCGAGGCTCGCTGCTGCGAGGAGCGGGACACTGTGAGCTGGCTCACTGGTGTGGGGTCGGCGAGACAGCGAGACACCGCAGAACTCAGCCTGGGCACACACACAAACTCCCAGCCAGGCTGCGGGTGTGTTTCAGGCTGCGGGTGTGTTTCAGGCTGGGTTTCACTGTGTCTCGCTGTCTCACAGACGGCCACTGGGCTCACAGGGAGGGGGGGGCAGGAGCTCCAACAAGCCGTTTAGGACAGAGAGTGAATACACATACTATACAGAGATGCTGTATGAGAAACCAATGTGAGTTTGGAAAATTGCACAATATACATTTATTCTAGTAGACCTCAACAATGGAATTATGATCAGTAGAAATGGCCAAGACATGGGACCTTTAAAACTCGATAATTATATCTCATATATTGCCTTCATGGATATGTACAGTTGTGTTAAATTCAATCTAATTTTCAAATGTAAATGAACAAGCTTGATTAAATGATCCTATTGACCCAGTATCTGATACTAGCCACAACAATGAATCCCTCCTACTCTATATACATTATATATATATACAGTATATCATTTAAAGCCTGTAGTGCAGAGTGTGACGCAGAAGGACTCACCGTCTCTGTTGGACAGCAGTTGCACCAGGCCGTTCAGACACGTGTCCCTCACCTCCCCGATGTTTGTGGCGCAGCGGCCGATGGCCTGGATCGTGGCGGCCACAAAGTCTTTATCCATGCTCTTAATGTACGTCTGCCAGAGAGAAGTATTCACTTAGTAAAGTGTAAAATACAGAGAGTGGCTTATCCCTCCTCAGTGAAGCATCACTCTTAACTCCCATAGATGCTGCTGAATTCCCTATAGGCTTCATTAAGCTTCATCTTATCTTATATATGTGTTGCATGAAAGCACATCTTGAGTCAGTCCTTATACTATTATATATCCATACTGTAAACGTTGCACATTACCATGATTACTGATTACTTTCTTTTGTACATTTATATTTCTTGAAATATTCTTTTTTTTACTTTTAATTTTACAATATTTTTTTTGTTTACAGTAGATTTATAGTAGGGATGGGAATTTGAAAGCAAATGTATATTCGACCCCCAAAAAAACGGTTAACCGATTAACCGAAATGAACATATCCTATAAAAAAAAAAATGTGGGAAACATTTAAAAAAAAATGTTTTTTAAATACATGTTCAAATACAGTAAGTATAGAAACCAAGTCGATTTTGTCAAATGTATTGAACTGGTGATCCCAGTATGAACAGTTGACAGCTATAGGCCTACAGCTTTCATGCTTAAAACATAACTTGGTTTTTAAATTAAAGAGAACAACATAACGGGTTAGGGTAACGTAACCCGTGACAACAGAGATCAACAACCTATAACAGGGCTATGCACAGAATGCAGCTATTCAATACTCATTCTTGTTTAAGAATATGAGCATGTCTACTCGGGGGAGAGGCGGGCGCGGAGGCGATTCACAATCAGGCCAGCTGTAGAGAAGACCCTCTCAGCTGGAATTTGGGCTGAGGTTTGAGTCTGCTTGATCTGCGTGTAGGGAGGGGCAGCAGCCATATCATTGGCTAGAACTAGCTAGATCTGATGGATTTGGACACAAACGCGAGTGAAGTATAACCGGACGCGAGAGAGAGGTCAGCACCTGCAGCTCTGCCCGCTGTGAGGGACCGGTGAGCAGAGCAAAACACACCTTTAGACCTAACACACTTAGCTACGGCACATTGAATTATTCCATTTGATCATATCAACTTAGGCACCCCTCCCAAAAACAAAACAAAATTACAATAAAAATATTCATAACTCATATTCTCATTCGAATACCTGAATAATTTCTAATATTCGATTAATCGTTCCCATCCCTAATTCATAGTAGCTATTTTTACAACTTAATTTCTCCTACTGTGCTTATATATGCATGGAAATACAAATTACTTCTGTGAACCTACTTTATTTATTTTGTGTCCGTTCTTCACAAAGAATCATGACTCTACCTGAAACTCTCGGAGGATCGTGGAAATGTTCGTCTCATTCGCCAGATTGGTGAGAACCTCCAGCTGCAAAGACAAACAGAGAAAAACGTTTTATTTAAACTTAATTTAAAGTGGAATACAAAACTGGGCTTACTTGCAATTACTGCATCACTTTTACATTGTTGGTTACTTCTTAAAACCTGTGCCAGAAAACTGCACTTTCATTTTTAAACAGTCCTTTTTTCAGATTGATGTAGACATTTTTCAAGCAGCTTCATTCGTATTCCTGGGAGTTGATTTGGCACGAGTGGATTTTATGACTCTGTGAAAGTGGGTTTACAATGATTGAGGATATACTTTGTTATACTACCACAGGGTATATGCAGGAATCCTGAAGTCAAATGTAAAACCTTTTAAGACCTTTTTTAAGACCCTTCCATACATTTTAAGACCTCATCGCCACTTGGAGTTTTAACCGGTTACATTGGCGACACACTTTACCTCACATTGACTATATTCAGTATTGATTGTCCTTCCTCCTTATCTTCCAACCATTTGGACGCAAACTTGCATTTCCCCAAAACGATGTTGTTTAACAACCGGCGTAAACGGACCTTCGCGCTATCAAGCAGTGAGCGTGCGATGTCCTGTTCAGATGACGTCAAATCCAACGGGATGCCATAAATAAACTACACAGAATCACACTACACACCTACGCAATGATTACATTCAGGCAGACTGTAGAATATAACCTCTTTGGACAATTTATATACTTATTGAAAACAAGCTACAAAATGTAATACATTGGAAAATGCTGTTTAATACTTTTTAATAGCATTAATTTTCACTAAATTAATTGATCAACGTTTAATACTTTTTAAGACCCCGCGCCGCGGACACCCTGTACCATACCTCAGGTTAAGGATGAATAGTCTTCCATTATTTCAGCACTACGACAAAAGGGACAGCAGGGAAATAGAAAAGAAAATAACCTTAAGGATTTTAATCTGCGTTGGGTCTGTAGAACGGATGTAGAAACTCTTCAGGTACGGCTCAAACATCCCCTGTAGCACACGATGGAGAGAAGAGAGGAAAATGTAATTCAGTGAATCTGCAGCATTCAGTTTTAGATTTCACACACAACCAAAAGACAGCAGCAGGTGTCGCTCACCCTCCTCTTAATCGACATTGTCGCCACATTCTGAAGAACAACGTACTGGACCTCACTGTAATGAGAGACATCAACACAAGACATTAATGATAAGGTTAAAAACTGTGGTGAAAAAATTATAAAATCCCTGTTTTTATCGACCGGAGAAATCCTGTGGCCATGAGAGGCCCACAGCTCTTCACAACAATGGAAATATTTGTATGAATATTTATACATCGGCAACGATTATTGAGTATTAATAAAAAAATGTGTAGAGAAATGTTCATATAGGAGAACTGAGCTTTAAGATAAAAATACATAAGTTCTACGTAAGAAAAGACAGTAAAAAGATATTACATAATAATATAATTTTTGCAGTAGGTCATACTGACATTGCGATAACATTATCATAGATCTATTTAATGTGACATTTCTCCCAGCTGCATATGGTATCTGGTAACATCTAAAGAAAACCAAATCAACATGGTTTCTGAATCTTTGTAATCCTATTCCTTAGATTAAGATAAAACTGTAAGTAATATGTGTTACTAATATGTGCAAAAAAAAGTTTTAAAAAATCACATCTGCACTCAGGTATGTTTGTAGATTGTCTAATAAAGCAAGACCAATATAACATTTCAAATCTTAAGCAGCATTCTTGTTAGACGTGCGTGCATTATCTCTCAGGGTAATAAACCAGTGTGTTTGTGATTAGCGCTGAGGCTCTGTATGAATAGTAAAGTGTTAACAAACATATGGTGGTGTGCGACAGAGAGGCTGTTTGGCGGCTCTGAGTGATGATCCCATTACAGCCGCTCAGCCACAGGACCCCCGCTCAATAAGAGGCAGTGTGAGGACTTACAGCCCACAGGCCATCGCTCCTCATGCTTTATGCCTCCATGTTTACCTCAGACGCACCCAGCTCCCTGTTTAATTTCACTCCTCGCTTCAGGCCAGAGCAGATTTCGTTTACTACCCTCACTTGTCATTTTTCTACTGTTCTCATACTATTTTCCACTTTGCTGATGGTCTTTATAGTGTTCTCCTCGCACATTCAGCTGAGTTTCATAAACGCAGCTGAATGTGCTGCAGGGTGACGTATTTAGCTAATGATCAAACAGGAAGTTAGCATCCCGTTGGTTTCTTTGACAAAAAGCGGAAAGGGATTATTTCTTTGAATTATGTCAGAAATAAGATAAACTTTTAGGATTCAGGAGGATACACTTCACAATAGTTGAACACCACATGTAGGATTTTGAAGCATAAAAGCAATGGCTGCTATAAGCTAACATAATGCTAATACAACAAGCGCAGGACTTCAACGTCATCACCACTGAGTAAATGGGTTTCTTGTTTTTAGCATTATGGCTTTTATTGTTCCCTGACAACATCTGTAGTCTAATTAAGCCAATTCATTGTACAATGTAGGATCCCAAATATTATGTTAATCAATTTTGTATTAGCCATTGCCCTTTTTTTTTTAAATTGATATGTGTATCTGTTGTATTTTATGTCAGAAGCAAACAGTTCTTTAGCTTGTGTTAACCGTAGATTTTTGTTCAGAACTCAAACATAAAACCCATTGGAAAAGCCAGATGACAGAAAGAAACAAAACATTAATTAAAGCTAACTAATTTCCCAGATATAGGACTAATTTCTGCAGTACTGTTTTCCACCTTAGCTCCATTCTCAGCCAATAATGTTGACAGATGGCTCATGCTGCTGCCTTAAAGGTGGGGTAGGTAAGTTTGAGAAACCGGCTCGAGATACACTTTTTGTTATATTCCATGGAATGCTCTTAACATCCCGATAGCAATGAATATCTTAAGTGCTTTGACAAAAAATCCATAAACAAAAGTCATCTGTGGAAGCCGTGGTACTGTAAAAAGTACGACCAATCATCTGAGCCGGCCCGGCTAAAATAACTGGATGGCCTACCTGCCTGTCAGCCTTCCATCTGTGCACAAACTTATCTCGTGCCCTCATTAGTCATGTGCGCGTTCGTGTGTGTTGAAGGAGGGGCTCTGTAAGGAAGTAGCAGATTTCTTCCGGCTGTGTATTTTTAAATTCTAGCTCACTCGAGCTGGTTTCTCCAAAATGACCTTCCCCACCTTTAATTTCACAGCTTTTAATTTTCTAACAGGCCTGATGCTTTAATAGGCAGCATTGAAATTTGAATAGAGAATTAATTTCAGATGGTCAGCTCACCTGTGGCTCCTCAGCAGACGGACCAGGGCCTTGGCGATCACCCCGATCTCCGCTTTAGGAGCCAGATGGAAATACAGCTGAGCAACAGCCATCACCACCTGATGCAGGGAAAACAAAAGGAGGGTAAAACAATTGCACAATATAAAATACTGTGTAACTAACCCATGTACTATGTCATCCATCTGGGCGTTCAATATTTACTCCTGTTGTTACAATTCATTCAGTTCCAAAGCAACAGTCCATTACCATCACTGCCTCTCGCTGCAGTTTGCCACCGTGCAGATGAAATGTGATTTATTCTGCCAATGTGTTGGATGTGCATGAAAGAACTACATCAAATACTGTGTTGCCCTCTTTCTTGTTTTATAGCAGCTGTGTCAAACTCAATGTCATCGCGGGCCACATCAGCATTATGGTTGCACTCAAAGGGCCGGTTGTAACTTTAAGACTATATAAAAATACATATATAAATATGTAATATATATAAACGTATGTATTATATTACAATATTTCCTCTGCATTGGATTATTATAGGATAGGTAATAATAACTTAATAATTAACTACTGAAATCAGAAGTCTAGGACAAATAATTGGAAGTCTCTTCAGTGAGAATGTCACAAAATGATTTTTTTTTAAAAAAAAAAGCCAAATTCTGGAAAAAATGTTTAAAAAAATGACATTTTGAAGCAAAAAAGTCAAATTCTGAACAACATTCATATTTGAGATGCATTGTGGGACATGTAGTTTATGGGCAACGTGCTTCTGTAAATCGGCATATAACTGTATAATAAACGTATTATATTCTTTCAGAGCTCTTGTGGGGCCACATTAAATGAAGTCGCGGGCCGGATTTGGCCCCCGGGCCTTGAGTTTGACACCCCTGTGTTACAGCTAAATGGAAGAAGAACATTTTTGATTTAAAGTTCAAGAAATGATCTGGCACTCAGGGGGGAGGGTTGTGCTTTTTCAAAAAATCTCGATCTGCATACTAAACTCAATCATCAATCGTGTTTCTGGCTACTTCATGAATGTTCAATATGATCTTTTAGCCCTGCTTCCGGCCTCCTCAGGGAAGTATCTGTCTTTAAGGAGTTTATTTCAGCTTTTTAGATGAAAACAGATGCCTGAAACACTGACAGGAGTGATGAAGTGAACCTGTTGCCATATAATCAAAACAAGGAGGTGAGACACTAAGGGCAGCTGCAAAGTTCATATCAGCTTTATGTCACTTTTGATCTAAAAATAGATCAGCTTTTGAAAATCTTTGAGATACCTTTTTTCTTGGTCACTTTGACATTACATTACATTACATTGCATTTAGCTGACGCTTTTATCCAAAGCGACTTACAATAAGTACATTCGACCGGAAGACACAACCTTGAAGAAAACAGAATCATAAAAGTTAATCAGCTTTCATAGAGCCAAAACATTTCAAGTGCTACTCAACTGGCGTAGATAAGCCAGTCCTTTGTTAGTATATAAGTGCTTTGTTAATAATTATATCGCTCGAAGTGGAGTCGAAAGAGATGAGTTTTCAGTCTGCGCCGGAAGATGTGCAAGCTATCTGCTGTCCTGATGTCAATGGGGAGCTCATTCCACCATCTTGGTGCCAGGACAGCAAACCCACGTGTTTTTGCTGATGGGAACTTGGGTCCCCCTCGCAGCAAGGGCGCAGCGAGTCGTTTGGCTGATGCAGAGCGTAGTGCACGCGCTGGGGTGTACGGTTTAACCATGTTCTGGATGTACGAAGGGCCAGATCCATTCGCAGCATGGTAAGCAAGTACCAGTGTCTTGAAGTGGATTCTAGCAGTTACCGGAAGCCAGTGAAGGGAGCGGAGGAGCGGAGTGGTGTGGGAAAATTTAGGAAGGTTGAAGACCAGACGAGCCGCTGCATTCTGGATGAGCTGCAGAGGTCGGATGGCACATGCAGGTAGACCAGCCAGGAGGGTGTTGCAGTAGTCTAGGCGTGAGATGACGAGAGCCTGGACCAGAACCTGCGTCGCTTTCTGTGTCAGCTGGGGACGTATCTTCCTGATGTTGTAAAGCGTGTATCTGCAGCAGCGGGTTGTAGCAGCGATGTTTGCAGTGAAGGACAGGTTGTTATCTAGGGTCACACCCAGATTCCTTGCAGTCTGAGTCGGGGAAACAACTGAGGTGCCGATGTTGATTGTTAGGTCAAGAGTGGGACAATCTTTTCCCGGAAGGAAGAGCAGCTCAGTCTTGTCAAGGTTGAGCTTGAGGTGGTGAGCAGACATCCACTGAGAGATGTCTGCTAGACAAGCAGAGATGCGTGCGACGACCTGGGTCTCTGAGTGGGGAAAGGACAGAATTAATTGGGTGTCGTCAGCGTAGCAGTGGTAAGAAAAACCATGCGGGCTAATGACTGATCCGAGCGAGTTTGTGTACAGGGAGAAGAGGAGGGGACCAAGAACAGAGCCCTGAGGGACCCCTGTAGTTAATTGACAAGGGTCGGACTCAGACCCTCTCCAAGTCACCCTGTAGGTACGGTCTTTCAGATATGAGGTGAGGAGGGAAAGTGCAGAGCCTGAAACTCCAAGTTTTTGGAGAGTGCGAAGGAGGATCTGATGATTCACCGTGTCGAATGCAGCAGACAGGTCCAACAGGATGATGACAGAGGAGAGGGATGCAGTTTTGGCAGTGTGCAGTTCCTCCGTGACAGCAATGAGAGCCGTTTCTGTGGAGTGACCTGCCTTGAAACCAGACTGGTGCAGATCCAGAAGGTTATTCTGATGGAGATAACAGGAGAGTTGTCTAAAGACAGCGCGTTCAAGTGTTTTAGACAGGAACGGGAGGAGAGACAGGCCTGTAGTTTATAACATCAGACGGGTTGAGAGTAGGTTTCTTTAGGAGAGGGTTTACTCTTGCCTCCTTGAGACTGTTTGGAAAGTGACCAGAAGTTAGAGAAGTGTTGATGAAATGGGTGAGAAACGGTAGAATATCAGGAGCGATAGTCTGAAGGAGGTTTGAAGGGATAGGGTCCAGAGGACAGGTGGTAGGGCGGGCAGAGGTAATGAGGGTAAGAACCTCACTTGGAGAGAGAGGGGAAAAGGAGGTAAGTGTGTTGGCGGTGAGTAAAGGGGAGTCAGAAAAAGAAGAGCGAATATCATCAACCTTTTTTTCAAAGTGGGTAACAAAGTCGCTTGACAGAAGTGAGGAGGGGGAGGGGCTTTTGGAGGGTCCAGGAGGGAGGAGAAGATGGAAAATAGTTTTTTAGGATTGGAATAGGAAGATTGGATCTTATCTTGAAAGATAGTGCTTTTTGCCTGAGAGATCGAAGCAGAGAAAGACGAGAGGAGAGCCTGATAGGTTAGGAGGTCGTCACGGTGTTTGGATTTCCACCGTTTCCGCTCTGCTGCCCTAAGGACGGTTCTATTAGCACGCAGTGCATCATTTAGCCAGGGAGCAGGAGGGGACTGACGAGCCTGCCGAGATGTGAGAGGACAGAGAGAGTCCAGAGTGGATGAGAGAGTAGAGAGGAGAGTTTCTGCAGCAGAGTTTGAAGGCAGGAGTTGGAACGAGTCAGAGGAAGGGAGGGCTGAGAGCACCGATGAGGCAAAGGTAGAGGGGGAGAGGGAACGAAGGTTACGGCGGACAAGTGCAGGATGAGAAGAGATTAGTTTGTTATGTTTGGAAAGGGGTAGAGAGAATGAAATGAAGAAGTGATCAGATGTGTGGAGCGGGTTTACAGAGAAGTTAGAAGTAGCGCAGTTCCTTGAGAATATGAGATCAAGGACATTGCCAGCTTTATGAGTCGGTGGGGACGGAGACAGTGAGAAAGCAAAGGCGGTTAACAGGGATGTTAGTTCGTCTATCGTCCCTGTCTGGAGGTTGAAGTCTCCGAGAAGTACAGCGGGAGGGCCAGTTTCAGGGATGTGTGAGAGGAGATTATCTAATTCCTCCAAGAAGTCCCCCAAGGCGCCTGGTGGACGGTAGAGTACAACAATGGTTAACTGTATAGGATGGGTTACTGTGACGGCATGGAACTCAAAGGTGGAAGGAGTAAAGTTAGGTAGCTTGAAGAGGGAAAAGCTCCATTTGGGAGAGAGCAGGAGACCAGTGCCACCTCCTCTGCCAGTTGGTCTGGGTGTATGGGAGAAGGAATATGCAGTGGAGAGAGCTGCTGGGGTGGATGTGTTGGATGGAGTAATCCAGGTCTCAGTGAGAGCAAGGAAATCCAGAGATTGCAGGGAAGCGTAGCCAGAGATGAAGTCAGCCATAGGAACAGCTGACTGGCAATTCCACAGGCCACCTGAAACTAGATGTTGGATCTCAGTCGAGCACGTGGGATAGACGAGAGCAGGCCGGTTATATCGATTAGGAGATACACGGGGCCAATGATAATTGCGAGAAGACACATGAACAGGAATGGAGAAAATACACATGATTATAGCATGAGGGGCTAAACAACTAAAGAAAAGAGAAATAAGACACCAGCTCAATCAGAGTAGGATTTGCCTCCTCTTTGCCTCCCTCGTGACTCCCGTAGGACTCCAATGTCTTTGTCAGTCTTACTCCCGTAGGACTCCAATGTCTTTGTCAGTCTTCGGCTGTCTGACGCTTAAGCTGACGCTCCAGGAAAGAGCTACCTAAAATGGATGCCTGATTGCTGAGTTCTCACAGCTGTAGGGCCACGCCCCTCTAATTAGTTAACTATCTACAGCTGATGGGCGACAATAGACTGGCCCTGCCTATATTGTAGAGTAGAATAAATGAAACAGAGAAGTCTAATTAAACAAGAATATAACTTACAGTGGTTGCTGCGTCAATAGGTAATGTCGTCACCCGGTCCAGATGTACACAAAGTTTTTAACACAACATTGACATATATCCATTTAAACTCACCCTGCAAACTCTTAATTCCACTTATTTACACATCTGGAAATGATGGAGCAACAATAGAACTCATTTGGAGTCATGTCTACCTGGTGGATGAAATTCAATAATTTGCTTTCTTTCTTTTGTTTAGGTCCCTCTAACTCCTGGACTCTGGCTCTTTAGCTGTTTAATGCTTCATTATGTTCGCCATGTTGTTGCTAACTGTGTCTGTGTGTTGTTTGGTGCTGAGCACTTAGTGTTGCTGGCTTCACAGATGCTTCACTGCAAACAGCTGCCTGCCACTATTAGAGCAGTGAGGGGGAACCAGAACAGTGAATTTGTGGACCGGACAGATCCACAAAGAGCTGAAACACGCTTTAGAGATAGTCTTGATCTGGGATCCGGAGATCGATTGCTTTTGTCTGTATGCATTCTTTTTTGCCATTTTGTGTGTAAGCATGTGCACATTATGCTAATTATTGTGTGATCTATCATTACATTACATTACATGTCACTTGTTAGACGCTTTTATCCAAAGCGACTTACATACTCAATACTGTGGGCAATCCCACAGGAGCAATTTGGGGTGAAGTGTCCAGGGACACAACAACATGCTGACTGCAGTGGGGTTTGAACCTGTGACCCCTGATCCCAACACCAAGGCTCTACCCACTACGCCCCCCATCTATCACCCTTATATTGCGTTTAATTAACTTTGTGATGTTTGAGCTATGTTGTTGTCACACTAACATTAGAGAGAAGTCTCTTAAAAACAGACTTGTAGTGTCAACAAGCCTTTTATAGGCAATATATTTATTTGAAAGAGTTGTATTTTTGTAAATTCACTTGAGTAAGGTTGTTGCTTCCACTCTCGTGATTATTTCTCTCCTTTTATCAGGGGTGTAAAAAAAATTCTGCAACTGTTTAGCGTCCTGTGAATGAATGTTATCGATAACACCTTTAGGTAGTAAGAGTAGATGCTTACCTCAAATGCCTCTTCTCTTGTAAAATAAAATAAAACTTAAAAAAGGCTCATAAAATATTTAAAAGGGATAAGGGATAAGGAAAAACCAATTACAATTATAGAGCACGCTGCTAAACAACATGCAATATGAGGGACAAGGTTAATCTTGAAATGCCTTGAATCAAACAGCAGAACAAAGGCAGGATAATGTGTGACCGGGGAGTCTCCTAACATCTGACATTGATCAAAACAGGCTTTTCAAAGATCTGAGTAGCTGCTCGAAGGCACTACAGCTGCTTGTTAGCGCAAACCAAGGTCGTGCATCTGAAGACCTCAACTACTCAAAAATGTTGGAGAGAAAGCCATTATGATTTCTGCCATGGCAACTGGCTCAAGTGGAGAGTTACTGTTAGTGTGTGGGTGGGTGTGTGTGTTTCAGAGTGTCTTACGGCTGCGTTGCGGCTCTGCAGCAGCGGCTTGGTGTTTCTCAGCAGCAGCCGGTGATCTGGATCCATCACGTACGGCTTCCTCTTGACCATGGGAGCCTCCGCCTTCTTGTCTTTGTCCTCCTCTTCCTCATCCGAGTCTTCATCCGAGCCGTAGAAGGTCTTGTCGCTTCCCTCCTCCAGAAAGGACTCCTGCAGAGACAGAGGGGATTAAACCGAGTGTTTGAGGGACAAACAGACCCAGACAGAATCTCTGTTGCATGGAAAATACTTATTGGCCGCTTCAAAAAAACAAACACCAGATGGCGGTTTGCTTTTGAATGTATTTGTTTAAAGGCAGCAACACTGTTTATGTGGAGCATCATTAGACATCCTCGTATTAGAACGACATATGGTGCAAAATGGGTTCGACAGCATTGGAAATTACTAAAATGATAATGTTTGTAGTGGTATGAAAACATGTCTTGGTTGATGCATATTGCGAATGAGAAATTAGGTTGACTCAAAATCCCAAAGTTGGCAAAGCAGCAAAAGGAAAACAATGGCTTGTACCTTTACACATTAACAATGGCTTAACCGTAAGAATATAATCCATCCAACAAAATAAACTTTGTTGTTGCACAATAATCCTGTTTCTATGCAAATTAGTCAATTTACCTTTGAGTTTTTGCATGTTATATGCCATGGTTATTTGAGCATTGATGATTATTTGTATTTTGTAATAAATGTGTTAGCTTCCTACTATGGTCTGTATAGCATGTCGGTAAGCATAAAAATGTGCTTTATATTCACGTCTTTTAGGGCAATTATCAGGCAAACATATCAAAAACTGTACTGGTTTTTGCTTCATAAATGTGAACATTTGCTGTTTTTCTGTATTTTTTTCACCATAAATAAAATATGTCTAAGGCAGGGGTGTCAAACTCAATTTCATCGCGGGCCACATTAACATTATGGTTGCACTCAAAGGGCCGGTTATAACTACTACATATATAAATATATATATATAAAATAATGTATTACATTACATTATTGCCTCTGAATTGGATTATTATCGGATAGGGTAACTAACTACGTTTGAAAGCAGAAGTCCAGGGCAAATAATTGCAAGTCTCTTCAGTGCGCAAACGAGATGCATTGTGGGACATGTAGTTTGTGGACAACCTGCTTCTGTAAAGTGGCATGTAACTGTATAATTAATGTATTATATTCTTTGCAAGCTCTTGCGGGGCCACATCAAATGAAGTCGCGGGCCGGATTTGGCCCCCGGGCCTTGAGTTTGACACCCCTGGTCTAAGGTTTTCTATTGTTAGTCACACAAATTTAAGAAGTTGGAAATATTTTTATATTTTCTTGCATTTTATAAACAAATGTACTTCCCAATCAAATAGAAAATAGACGTACAAATCTTGAAAGAAAATAATTAATTGTAATTGCTTTAGTTGCTGATTTACACATTTCAGTGGCAAGCTAATAAGTCTGACGTGAGTTTCATCACCTCAGAAAAAGTCAAAACAACGTACTGTACAAATCGCTGAAGTTACTATCGTACATATAAACCGACCACCTTTGGGGTCTGCACTGATTCTCTCTGTGTCTCGAACTCACGTTCATGTTGGGGTTGAGGAACTGGGTCCTGGCGTAGCGGGTCAGCATGTTGATGATGACCACCTGCCCCCACTCCTCCACGTCGATCAGCAGGTTGCACAGCTTCCTGTAGTTCTTGTGGATCAGCTCGATGCGTTCGGGACAAACCTCCTCAAACGCCATGACAACGCTCCCCGCCACCAGCTGAGCATACAGGGGGGGGGGTTACCAAAAATGTTGTTGAATGTCAGGACAGCACATGCTGCACAGGAGGATTACTGAGGCACAAAAACAGCTAATGCATTTTTTTATTATTATAGTTTATTTGTTACATAAATAATGTATTTGAGGTTTAATAAATATTATATTAAGATAAGGTAAGATAAGACTTTATTCATCCCGAAGGAAATTGTTGTGCCAGAGTTACAAAGATACAATAAACACAGCAGCATAATAGTAAAACTGTACACTAAAAAGAGCAACTAGATATCTACAGGAAACATGAAACATAGACGCTCACATCATTAATGTAAATATGACCAGTATTTAGTAGTGCAAAAATAACGTTTATCAATAATAATAATATTGCACAAGTTATATACAGTAGCAGCGAGTGTTTTGTAATGATGGTAATTATATTTATATTACTTGCAGTTAAACTAAATCTGTAAATAGGGACTACATTTTTGATCAAATTGCAAAAGTGAATGCAAAGCCTGCCAGAGGGAGACTGGTTGAACAAATGATGCAACCAAAAACATTTAGCAAGTTAGCTGCTACTGATATTTTGTGCACTTCCTCAAACTTCTATTTGCATTTGTCAAAAGAAATACGGATAAAATCCTGGATCTGTGGTGTGAAAACTCACCGTGGTTTTGTCAGCGAGGAGTTTCTCTATGACTTCGATCAGCTGGTCCTTCTGCTCTGGATCCAAACTGTGGACAGAGAAGAAAAAAAACAATGCATAAAACAAGAAAAGCAACAGAGAGAGGAATTGTTCTTAAAGAAATGATACCGTTGTGTTTAAATAATACGGAGCAATAGGAGTAAGCTTTTCTGCCATGAAAGGCTTTCATTTTCAAAGTCACAACATTTTAGCCTCGTGGTTCTCAAACTGAAGACTATGACTCGTGCTGTGCCTTAAACACTGATTTCTAACTTAAAAATGTGTAATTGCTTCTTTAAATCTTAAATATAAAACCTGTTTTCAAGCAGTAATATCTGTAATTAAAGAGGCCTCATGTAATAAATATTAATAAGTGAAATCACCTTAGTTCGCCACACTGTAAAGATCAGGGGTCTGAGTACTGAAAAAGTCTCATTCTGTCACCTGTAGAGTTTGGGGATTGCGTGAGCGGCCGTCTTCCTGACGTACGGAGACATATCAGAGGCAGCCTCTTTGATGGCCAGCATCATGATGGGGACGATGATCGTGACTCGGATGCTGGAGAGGACTCGCAGAGCGCTGGCTCGGATCAGCTGGTTCGGATCCTGCAAAAGAAAAGAGTTCAGAAACAATATTAAAGCCAAATCGGTTGACAAGGTTCATTTGGTTAGGAGTCCACAGCACAGTTAGTCTGTATTTAGCAGAATGTTCGGTGCCACTTTACAATAAGACTACCCTTATAAAGGATTCATAAAGGGTTTATAATTAGGTTATGAATTAGTGTAAACACTTTATTAATCATTAAGAACCATTTATAAACCAGTTCTAACGTAGTTTTCATACATCAACACAGGCTCACTATTTGGCAAGATGACTAAGCCTTATATTGGCTACTTAGCGAGAATCAACTCAGTGAGCAACAGATACCAAGGATGCTGGCTGATGAAGAAGACGAGGTAAGCTAAGTAGCCAATATAGCCAATATAAGCTAAGTAGCCAATATAAGGCTTAGCAGTACAGATACATGTGGGCTCACTATTTGGCAAGCAACCGGTCACAGTCGCCCTGTTTATCTCATGTCTTATAAAAGCTTATTAACGATTTATAAAGTGTTCACAACCTAATTAATAAATGAACTACAAACTATTCATAAACCCTTTATAAGGGTAGTCTTATTGTAAAGTGAATTTTCTTAGTTTAGCCTGTTAGCATGCTAACATTTGAGAAATGTATTTGGTCATTAAACATATTTGACCAGTTCAAATGTTAATCCTGATGATGGCACTAAATGAAAAGTTAAGGGATCAGTTATTTCTAATTGATCCTTCAGGGAACTTGAAAATCTGTTGCAAATTTCCAAGTGAAAATATTTGAATGAATTGTAAATAAGATATTACACTTAAAATATAATATTTCAACCTCATGGTGGTCAACAATCAGGGATCACTCATTTCAGTTAGACTGATATTTTGGAAAACATGAATGTGTGTACACAATTTTATGGCAATATGTCGTATATTTGATGAGATGTTTCAGTCTGATCTAAAGCGGTACAGCTAGAAATCAAACATACAGGACACCTATACTTTCTGATTTACATCATAACATTTCAACCCAATTTGTTTTCTTTGTGTTGAAGTGTTGAAGTATTTGTCTCGTATGAAAGCTGCTGTACCTTTAACCCCCTCTGGAAGGTGGAGATGGAGAGCAGAGCGAGGTCCTGCTGCTCCTCGGCGTAACGCACCAAGTAAACATACACCAGCTTCTTCACCTGCAGAAACAAACCGAATTATGTAGATTAGTAAAATGAAGCAAAGTGATAAAAAGGAGAGGATGGAAATTGCCATTTTGGTTGAGGTGAGATAAAGTCAAAACCCACAGGGCTTTGAAAAATGTGATAAGACGATTCTTAAATTACAAGCAAGAGGAAGCAGTGCAGAAAGCAACTTCTCTACCAGATAAAAACAACACAAGACGAAGAAAAACAACAAATACATTAAAGCCTTTTTTACAAACCTCAATGTTTTTACAGGCCACATTTTTCACCACAGCAGGGAAGAGATCAGATGCATTTTTTCCACGTGCGATCATCTGCAGAGAAGAGCAAGAAAAAAGCAGCAGTGAGGATTTACAAGGTGACATTTTTCATTAATTTGCAAAATAAAATGTTTTATTTTATTCTGGCAGGCTCTTCCTTCCCTTGTTATCGTCCCTGTCCTGCAGAGATGATGAATGAGGAAATGGGTGTGGAGTTTCAGATTATGAGTTATGAATATTTAACAGCTGACTGCGCACTTCTCTGACCACGGTATTTTAATCTGCAGATCCTATTAAAGCATTCTTATCCTTCAAATGTATAAAATCAAGTTTGATACACACAACAAGCTTTGTGTGTTTGTCTGAATGATTTTTAAATGATGCACGTTGACTCGTACATATGGCGTTTGTTTTCTCATAACTTAGCGGGCCGTGGAGAATTCCCAAAGTAAACATTATGTATACTCACAGCCACGATGCGCTTCATCGCCTCCAGCTTCAGCGAGTCTTTGTTGCTGTCCAACATCTCCTTCAGGTCGTCGTGTCTGAGGGAGGAAAACATTTTTAAGCTGCAGGGGGAACTGAGTGACCTCAAAACAAGAAACATGGACCTGTTTGGGTTCCAATTAACGCTCACAATGTCTCAAAGTCGGCAAGCGTGACCCAGAAATTATTCTCTTTGAAGAGTGAAATCCAGCTCGCAAAATATGGAAAAGCTTTGAAACTGCAGCTCATAAAAAGAGGGGTGTAAAGTGACACAATCCCTAAAACATGTTTACTTCTCAAAAAGATCAAAGACGTGAACCAGTGCAACTGTAATGAACCAGAAGGTCTAATATTATCATACAGGCTCACTTCTTTATTGTTCATATAACTCGATAACCAACAACTGCAGGAGCAGAGCGCTGAACTGATCAATCGATCACCAGAAAATAGGCAACACATTTTCTATCCATCAATAAAAAAAATGTAATCAAGCACGATTGTAAAACAGTTTCTTGTTCCTCAAATTTGAGGATTTTTTAATAAAATTAAAATATTGTGAATATCATTGGGCAAAACAAGTAGTTGGAAAAAGTCACCTTAATCGTCATTTGTCACTATTTTCAATCTGTCATTCTCACTGATCAACTACCTGTGGTATTGTGTTATTAAATTAATCATTCATTACGATCTTACACACATTTTGGTTCTGCTCCATCCAAGTCTTATCAGAGACCTTCAACCTACATCTTGAACAAACTGCTCTCCAACCCTTTTGGTACGTGGAGAATGAGAAGTCTCTTCATCTTCTAAAATCTAAATGATTATGATATTTTTTCTGACACTGGAGCAAATCTAGTTATCACTGCTGCTGGTACATCCTGAGAAATCAGATTCAAAACTCATTCCTGATACCTCTGCTATCAAACATAATAATTAGTTGCAACCCTACTAAAAAGGGCCGTTTCCTCAAAGTAAGTAAAAGTATTTCTTTGTGTCAAAACCGCAATGATCCCCAACCCTAATGAACATTCAAAACATTTGTTTTTAGGACAACAGCCTGCTTTTCATTCCACATACACTATGAGTTTCTGTGACCCAGTTAACATGCGACTCCCCCCTGTCAGAGACACTGGGATCAGACCAGAGCTCACAGAGGGATCATTTTAGAGGATCTCACCCTCCACCCTGCTGCAACACAGAAACACTAAAACAACACCGAGAGTTTCCACAAAAGCTGCCAGGAGGAACCTGCAAACAGCAGCAGAGCGGACAGATCAGAGCAGCTGGAGAGACGCCACATAATGACATGTCCAAACACTGACCCTTCACATCTGACCTGCAAGAAAACCTTTAGAAATAATGAGTTATAATTAGGATACGATACGATACGATATACTTTATTGTCCCCGTAAGGAAATTCGTTCTGGGCTCCGTCCAGCAGTTCCGCATACATGTACATAATATACAAACATAGTGGACATTTAAGAGACATACACATATCATCAATCATACACCGTTTGAACAAACACAATACACGCAGACGCACATACTGACAATGGCGACCTATTGCACTACCCTCATGGCCAACATTTAAAAAAAAGTACATTTCATTACATTTGACTTCGACTACATTTCATTTCATGTCAATGTTAAGAAGTTTAACGGACATAGGTAGGAATGAGTGCACATAGCAGTTCAGCCTGCTCTTAGGAACCCTGAATCTTCTACCAGAAGGTAGGAGCTGGAATTCTGGAGTATGTGGGTGGGATCAGACACTATTTTGTTTGCCTCTCTGATAATGGACTGCTCGTATATGTTTTGGAGAGATGGGTGTTTTTTAACCCCCATAATTTTCATAGCCGTCTGTACCAGGCGAGCGATCTGTGACTTAGACTGCACTGTCAAGTTACCGTACCAGGCAGTGATACCATACCTAATGATGCTCTCCAACACTGCATGATAAAACAGTAACATGAACTTCTGGTCGACTCCGAAAGCCCGGAGTCGACGCAGAAAGTACAATCGCTGTTGAAGTCTAGAGCACAGACCTTGAACATGCGCCTTCCAGCTGAGTGTATTATCTAGATGGACACCAAGGTACTTATAGGAGCTGACCTGAGTTATGGGTTCATTGTGGATAACCACCGGGCTAAGGTCACCCACTGCCTTTGGGTCCCACACCATCTCCTCAGTCTTCTTCACATTCAGCACTAGATGGCTAGAATCACACCACTGCACAAATCTCTCTATTTCAGAGTGATAAGCCGATGAACTGCTGCCCTTGTGCATTAAGCCAAGGATAGCTGTATCATCAGAGAATTTGATGATATAATTCTCCGGGTGGGCTCTTGTACAGTCGTTTGTGTACAGTGTGAAGAGGACCGGGGAGCTCACACAACCCTGGGGGGCTCCTGTACTGATGGTCCGGGGCTCTGAGAGGGCATTGTTGACCCTGACTTGCTGAGTGCGATTGGTTAAAAACGAAAAATACCATTTCAAGATGAAAGGATTTATATTGATCTTTATCAGTTTTTGAAGCAAGATGTGAGGCTGCAGTGTGTTAAAAGCCGAGCTGAAATCCACAAACAGTAGGCGTACATATGCCTTAGGGTCTTCCAGGTGTTTAGTGACCAGGTGTGTGATGCTATTTAGAGCATCGTCTGTGCCACGCCCTTGCTTGTAGGCAAACTGAAAAGGGTCTAAATGTACATCAACCTCCATTTTTAGCAGCGGCACCATGATCCTCTCAAAACATTTCATGACAATGGATGTCAATGCAACAGGCCTAAAATCATTGTTTACCTTTGGACAAGGTTTTTTAGGATAATGCAACATGTCCTATTTTTTATTACACATTAAATTGTTGGTATGAGAACACCCATCCATCCATCCATCCATCCATCCATCCATCCATCCATCCATCCATCAATCCATCTTCTCCCGCTAATCCGTGGTCGGGTCGCGGGGGTAGCAGTTCCAGCAGAGAGCCCCAAACTTTCTTTTCCCTGGCTACATCAACCAGCTCTGACTGGGGGATCCCAAGGCGCTCCCAGGCCAGCGAAGAGATATAATCCCTCCACCTGGTCCTAGGTCTACCCCTTGGTCTCTTCCCAGCTGGACGTGCCTGGTACACCTCCCTAGGGAGGCGCCCAGGTGGCATCCTAACTAGGTGCCCGAACCACCTCAACTGGCTCCTTTTAATGCGAAGGAGGAGCGGTTCAACTCCGAGTCCCTCCCGGATGACCGAACTTCTCACCTTATCCCTAAGGGAGACACCAGCCACCCTGCGGAGAAAACCCATCCCGGCCGCTTGTATCCGCACCCATGTTTAATTAAACCCTTGATCTATTTCACTTGCACATTGACGTTGTGTGCATTTTGTGTGTTCTTTTTATTCTAGGGGGAACTTGTATGAAGGCTGCTAGAATTAGGATGACATATTTACTTTGCATGTCTCTGCTTGATTGTGATCTGTCTGCTGTTAAATCTAATTGTGTATTGTCATCGGTTATTGTCTCTAAATACAGCACTTGTATTATATTGGCTTTCTAATGGCTGTTTTTAAATGTGTTTGAATGCACCTGTGTCTTAATAATGCTTTTAATGTTTATTTCGTAAAGCCCTTTGAGTTGCCTTGTGTTCAAAATGTGCCGTATGAATGGGAGGCGTGTGGTGCAGTGGGTTGAGCGTAGGTGTTCGGATCAGGGGGTCACAGGTTCAAACCCCACTGCAGGGCAAGACACTTCACCCCAAATTGCTCCTGTGGGGATTGTCCACAGTATTGAGTATGTAAGTCGCTTTAGATAAAAGCGTCTAACAAGTAACATATAATGTAATGTAATGAATGAAGTTGCCGTGCCATGAAGTAGAAGAGCACAGTTGATGAAGTTAGTGCAGTTGCATGATTCTTGTACTTTTTGGGGATGTAACCACATTGTTAAATGAGGCGAAGCAGTACAGATCTGATGTTAGCTCTGAGGAAGTTGATGGAGAAGTAAAGAGAAAGTCTGGAGGAGTGGTGCGTTTATGGATAAAAGTGTTACCATATTAACATATCGAGGCTGTTTCTGACCCCACCAATTCATTAACTATCTGGACAGCAAATATGTTAAATGTCTCTTGTTTCTTGTCTTAATATTTGTCGCCTAACATCATTTGTAGTGTAGCGTAACGTATGGTATCCTAACATATCCAGTCGTGTTGCATCGTAATTGTAGCGTATCGTATCGAGTGTCATATCGTAGTGTAGTGAAACGTATCGTATCATAGTGTAGCGTAGCATAACGTATTGAATCTTAAGAGTGGAGCTGGATATGAATGAGGGAAGAGTGAAAGTGGTGAGGAGTGCAGTGGGAGTGACGGAAGGGTTTAAGGTGGTGGCCTTTTTTGTTTGCAGTAGTGAGTGACAGGTTGACAGATGAGATCAGGAAGGAGTCTCCGTGGACCATGAGGCTCGGGGTGACATTGTGATCTGCAGGGAATGGAAAGTAGGGAGCAGGTTGAGGAGAGGTGGAGGTATGCAATGGAGAGAAGAGGAATTCATAAAATAAGTTTAAGAGCTGCCTTCTCTAAATTACATTTTTGAGAATTCAGAAACCGTCACTTTGATAGCACAAAGGTGTGATTTAGAACCTGGCTGAATCCAATGTTCACATGTCATTGGGGAAAGCAATAAGGTTCATCCTCATCTGAATATTTAAACAGTAAACTACTGGATATGTCATAATCATTTGTTAAAAACAATCCGTTATAAAGTCAGTTATGAACTGGGAAAGTTTCCTTTTAGTATCTTCTAGTTAAAACCCTATTCACACTTAAACTCAAAACTACCTTAACCAGAAACTAAAGGATTCAAACATTAAACCTGGGTGGGGTTTAGTCGGGGGCGGGAGACGTGATTAAATGGCTGCAGAGCTGCACATTTCCCCAACTAGTTTCCAAGGCAACAAAGGATGCAATAACATTTAAGTGAAGTGACTTCCTGCAGAGCTGTGTTGCATCTGAAGCGTGTGCTGTGAGCTGTGGAGACTGTATGCTCTGATTCACGCACTCACACTGA